ATTGACATGCGTAATAATAATTAATAGTTATGCGTACTATCTATACATTTTTTTTATAAATATTAATAAGTGCTAATGTAACACAACAGTCACTGCAACTACTATGCCTTAAACATTGGATCAGTATTCCCACATTTCTATTGATTCCAGTTTAGTGAAACCAAACTATATTAATATATTTGACATTAATTAGATCCATATCACAAAAACCCAAATCTTTTCTTCACATTTTTGACTTCTATCCTTTTAATTCTTCCTCCTTTGAAATCCACGTAGGATTTACATGACATGTTAAAACGTCGATATGCATACAGCAATTGACAATTCGCACAATTAGATCAAGTGCGTATAGTGAGGCAAGATACGCGTTTTACCTGTGGGGTAATAAAATATGGAGTAAGATCGCTTCGTCCGGGCAACACTGGCCGGGGAGCGGCAGTTTGCGCGAGACGCGCCTCGGGCCGCGCGGCTCTAAGCATCCTTTTATACGCGTATTAAGTGATCTATATACATACATATACTTCAACAGTCGAAATATATAGGTAAAACTGTTCGAACCTGAAGAATAATACTTCATAAATTAAAACTATACTGCTACATAGAGATTTTACAGTTTTATGGCAATGTGCAATAATTGTTTAGATACTATCGATAGTAAGTTGTACGTAGTAAAACGTCGAAATTTTAAGAACAATTTGATTTTGTCAAATTTCTAGTAACTCGATGAATTTTGCGTATGCTGGTGATGCCGATGAAATTCATTTTCGTCCTATCATCAGTACAGTCAGAAGGAGAAGACTGACAACGAACTTTGTTTTACAAGTTTAAAGATTTTTTGGCAAATGGCTTGCCATTTTAATAAGCTTGTAATATAGAATGGATTAAATATCATGTGTTATACGTATTAAAACTCAATATTAGACTCTATTATTGTTATTCGTTAAGCTTTTCACGCAACTTATTATATTAATATTATTATATACAAATTAATAACATAAAAAATGTCGATCATTAAAAAAGGGGCTAGTTTTTGTTGTGTAAAATCTTAAAATAAAAATTTAAATAATTTTCCACAACCTAGCTAAATGTTAATAGTAGTTAATTCGATCGTAATAAATAGAATCAGCGGTCACAGTAGAAAACAGCTAATTTTAATAAACCAGCAATCTACCGAGATTATCTTTCCTGGGATAACTAGAGGCGCAACAGTCCGCTCGTAATCTAGCCCGTTTCATTCGATTCAAGGCGCTATTTATTGCACATTTTTTTCTTCTCACTTTATCCTTTAATAGCTTTAACACTATCTTATGATAACACGATTGTTTTAAAACGGCGTCTACTCGTAGTAAAATCTTGCTTGAATATTAAATGAAATAAAGATTTGTCTTTGGTTATTGCAATTATTACATTAAACATAGATTAGATTACTTTTTTAAACAAATTCTTTCATTTTTTTTTTATTTGAGTTTTTAATGTGCCCATTCTATAACATTTAGCCAATTTTTCAAGTTAGGAATAGTATATAGGTATATATATATAATTTTAGCGTCATCATTTAATACAGATAAAAATTATATTTGCTTGTCAACTCCCCAGGTTCACTTGAACCGAAATTAGGATAAATTTGCCCTCCGAGATATCCTTTTCTGTGACCCACTTTGCGGGTGCTCTGTCGTCAAATCAGTCAGGATACATATATACATATTCACGTGATATATTCTGTCAACATTTACATTCATTATATTTGCCATTGATTTCGATTCTACCTTAAATTCCCTAAAGAATAAGTTATATCGAATCGGGCGATAGTATTTCTTAAACCTACTTTGCGTAGAAAACGATCGTTTGAATAGTATTTTTACTTTCTCAAATAAACAAATTGGATAAAATGAGAAATCGCGTATTATAAAATCATCGCAATTTCAACATGGAATCGCATATTTTAAAATCGAATTAAATAATAAATAAATAAAAAATGATCGATATAAAGAATATTTTAAACTATGCATAAACTATTATAGTGAATATACATACATACAATGGAGAAATAAATAAAATTAATCTTATAATTCACAACGTAAACAAACGCCTACATAGGTACTCATCGTAGTACGCTTGTTTTCGGCGCCCACGCACGCTCGTCTACAACCTACCCGTCTGTCTGGCACGGAGTTTTTCTATGGATTTAGAAGGACAAATGACAAAAGTTGATGTTTTATAATATATAATTAACTATAGAACTTTCAATTCAAATCGACTTCCTACAGGTAGAGTTCCGTACGACACACATCATATTAGACATTGTGTTAAGTTTTGTATGTACCAATATATTATATTCTTTATTGCACTTAAAATATGATACAGAAAAATATAACACAAGTAAACATAGTTCACAAAGGTGGACTTATCTCTAAAAGAGATCTCTTCCAGTCAACCCCTGGTTGTCGAAGAAGATGTCAGCGGGCAATATAGTGCAAAAAAATATACTAAATATATACTAGAAATAAAGGTAATAATAATCACATATACATACATACATATACATATATTACTTATAAAATATAATCGGACGTTGCACTTAAAGTCGGAAGCTATGCATTAGTGCTTGAAAGTTTTAGCGCGAGTTCGATCAAACTTTAGCCAGTTTTTATTATTTATTGTTATACTTTAAATTTTTCATTATACACACGACAAATTTTAAGTTTGTATGAGTGGTGTCATTAAAATTATATAGGAAAAAATTCAACAGGCTATTATGGTTCAAAATAGTATTTTCAATGTAAAAAAAGGATAGATAGTCTGTGTTACTTCGTAAAAATCACTTTCGTCTTATCCCCTCGGGTACAACATTCTAAAATACTCAATTAATAAACATTAAAAGAAATCTGGAATTCCAAATACTCGAATATACTCGTAGTAGCAAAAACCTAAAAGGTATTTTATTAAACGTTCAAAAATGAGAGCTTTATTCGATTATAGCGGTTTAAAGATATAAAATTAATTTACTCACCTTAACTCTAAGTACATATTGGATACGTCGAGGGTTTCGGTATCATCCTTCCGAAAAACGAAAATTTCCTCAGGTCACTTGTTTTATCTTCACATTATTGAACAATTTTAATAATATTAATAATCTTTATTTTCCAAAAAGTTTAGCTTACAATATATTTTATACTTGAGGGTAACTCACACTAGGCAAAGCCTGTATCGTGAGTACCACAATTTGATTTACAAATGAAATATTGTTACACACTAGTAAAAGTTATTATTATGACAAAGAAATATGTAAAGACTATAAAAATAAAAGTATTGCTTAATTAATTGTTTATAATTTCATTCGAAGCTTTTTATCGAAGTGAAATATTTTCTCATCGCAATATTGAAATTCTACTAATGTGTTGTTTGCTGACTCATATCAAGCAGCTGTCATTTATACACGAAGATGAAATTCATCTCTGACCTATAAAATAAATCGGAGCAAATACACTTTTGCATTAATAGTAAGGCTTACCTTGATTTTAGTTATACTATATTCAAGAACTCCTTAATGAAATATTTTAAGTGCTTTGAAAATTTAAAATATTTCTTCTTAAACTTTGTACAAGCATAAATATGCATAGAATTTAGATCACATTTTATCGTACGGCTTAGTAATTCTATCTCAACTTTGGAATACGACCCTCGGTGCCAGTGAGCGTATAGTGGAATAGTTTACGAGATGGCGACTGTGGACTGTGGTGTATTGAATAAACTATCGTATATTGAAACCCTTTATGAAATGCAAAATGAACATTATTTACGTACTTAATATTTTATTGATATTGATATTTCTAAATAATGTAAAAAAAACGTAGATAAAATTACTTCATCAAATCTCTATGAATATATTTTTTACCCGACTGCAAGGAAAGGGTTATGTTTTTCGCGCCTATCTTTGTTTGTTTGTAATATTCTTTATTCCCTCATATCTTCCAAACCACTTGATGGTTTTTTTTAATTAAGGTATCGTTAGATTCGTCTCTTTAGCCCAAGTGCTGTTAGATACGTGACATAAAAAAAATTAAATATGGGGACTGCTAGATTTTATTGTTTAAGGTGTTTTTTTTTGCAATATGGGTATCAAATTAAAGGGTTCATAACAAGGATTCCAAAAAAAGTATAACATCCATGTAATACTTAAAATAATGATCATTTAAACCACATTTATATATTAAAAATCATTTTTAGGTTTATTTCATCATTTTTCATTTTAAATAACAGTTTAGGATATATATCATTATTTAAAGTTGGTTAACAACCATCCTCGCTAATTTTCCTACTTAAAAATACTTAAAAGGCTGTAAATAAATATATATATATATTATAAAAATAAAAATTCCGACTGCATAAAAGCTAAATTCCTTAATGAACTTTTCATCTTTTTAGTTAGCTTTTATGCAGTCGGGTTTTTTTTTATAATATATTTATTTATCACCATAATCTCCTTCTTTTAAAAGGTTTATCTATTCAATACGTATTTTATTAAAAAAACAGCAGTCAAATCCGATACTTTTAAGTTATTGAATGACGTGTGGGGTGCCATTAGGACTTAAACGAGGCGAAGGAGGAGATAAATAGAATACTGCGATCCTAAAAGTATTTTGTACTTAATAATAACTAAACTAAAATATAAAAAAATACATGTAGGTAGTGTATTAGTTTATTAACGTAATATTCGAAATTGAATAAAATTCTTAAAAATTGTTTTTTTTTTTTGAGATGCCATTATAATAATTTTTTTAATCTTTATTAAATAATAATAATTTAATAAAGTTTCTTATCTAACAATCTATGTTTTGATATTAAACAAAATTCACAGGAAATCAAAATACAAATTTAAACAACGAAAATTGACCTAAACATTATAAGTGTTAAAAAATATAGTTGGATTATTTTTTATCGTGTATTTAAAAGTGAAGTGATAATTATTAAGACCTTGAAGAAATGAAAAGTGCATAACAATGAGTGGTTTAGGCCCTCCTGGTGTATGGGCCGCTCAGAAACGCCTCGAGTCCTGGGCTCGAGCGGCTCGCGAGAGGACCTCCAGTGCTAGTAGCGGCCAAAGCCATAACTCGACTGACAGCTTCGGTGAAGACAAATCTCATGGCAGTCCGAGTGTAAGTATTATATAATTTTAAGAGCTACTTTGCTTTTCATTGAGTTAAAAATACTTTTAAAATTTCTATTTTTGTTGTTAAATATTGAAATAAAATACTATTATCATAATCAAAAAAAAATTTGATGTGGATTATTACGTAAAAGTAATTAAATGTTAAGAATGGTAACCCAGAGAATACACTCCCATTAAAAATTTCATTACAATGTGAAATGATTCATTTTAAATTCTAATTTATGAACGATTTTATTTATATTCACTCCTTGTTCTATATACTTTTCTTAATTCATTCATAATATTATATTAGTATCTATGTACTTCGATAGTACAATAGTTTAGGTTTAAGAGGTATACGACGAAGGTAGGGTTCGACTGACAAACATACATATTCGTATATTATATTAGGTACAAATTTTTATGTATGTTCATCTAGTTCTTGGAGACGGATTGACCAACAGATTATAAATTGTATTCAATCAATAAAGATTAAACGATACCGCTTCCATTAATTTTTTTGTACAAATCATATTATTTCTGATGAAATCAAAACAAATTATGATGTTTTAGTTATGTTAACAAATATAGTAAGTTAATTTTAACTTATAATTGTCGTATTGCCTTGAAACTTCGTAAGCGTATGTATTTCCGTTGTCGGTAATATCATTTAGTAGGTATATTTGATATGATCAGGTGATGGCGCCAGGCGGTCGATAGTAAATTTCTTTAATGGCTACTAGTAAGCCCTTCGATTTTCAGTGTATTTGGATTGTTTTGACCACTCCTATACTTTAAGCTTAGGTTTGAGAGATTAATTTTAAATGTGATCTAGACAAATGTTTTTTTTTCGTTTCTCAATAAAATATAAATAAATTTGTAAAATAATTATCAGCTCAAAATTTTAATAGCATTTAGCGATGCATGGATTTTTTGCCACATTTAGAGCTCGTTTTAGTCTAATAATTATAATCTTTGAACCTACTTAAAATACTCTTAAATATATTAAAATAGTTTTATTATTCTATATTTACTTTTTTATGCCTACACTAAATAAAAAATAAGATCTTAAAAAAAAATAAACACATTTCAAGACACAAAACAAAAAAATAACTCAAGGGAGTTTTATAGATTTATAAAGGCAATACCATTTATTCATTTAAAACAGAACATGTATAACAAAAATAACTTAACGATAATAACTACATTAATATAAAACTGTGTCGCAGTTATTAGCGCCCGCCTCACAAGCGTCGTAAATAACAAAAAAACTTAATGCTACACATATTAAACAAAAGTATGCACAGTAACAAAATCAAATAATATCTAATTAAACAAACAAAAAAATATACCATGGAACCTTAGAGACATCTAACACCTCAGTCTCTCCCGTGATCATGATTGCTGTAAAGCATTCGAAACGTCGGGAACCAAAAATCAAAATAAATTCGCGAAAAAAACCGAAAAGATAGTTTTATTTAAAATGTCAAGTATTCGCGTAAATCTAAGAAAGTATTATTTCATGGAAGACACAAAAAACAAAACATCATGGAAAATAGAACGACAAAATCCTAAAACTCTAAAACAGTGTTAGCTTTCAAACAATCTTTTATGTATACATTTTATCGAAACTAGATAAACTATCTACTCATAAAAAGTGTACTATGAACGTTTTGATAACACACACATACATACATACATACATATATCAAGAAGACGTTAATGTTTAATAAATTTTCCGTTTATGCGTTAGTACATACGGTTACAGTCGTATTTCAGTAGGATATATTGATAGTAAAACTCCTTCACACTTACGATCATAGAAGATGTAATATGCTAGTTCGTAATATCTGTTCCACTTATATTTCTCTAAGCTTATTATATGTGAGATAAATGTAGTAATGTCATATTTTGGAAGTCATTTAACCCTCCACGACCGCGGACACGCCGGCGTGTCAGTTAACAATAGATTTCTTAGAATTTTAATTAATTTCTTAGAAATTTACCTGGAAGTGTTTTATTTATTATTTTTATTTAAAATTTTATTACATTTTTTAAAACACTAATCTAAACACTAACAGCGCAACAAAAACCATGTATGATTTTCCCGTGCACTGCGGATTCATGCGCGGTAGTTAATTAAACATAAATCTATTAAAAACAGGTAAGAATATCACCAACTTACTTGAGTTGTGTTAATCTTCGTATTGATTTGAAACGTTGAATGAAAATTAAATTAAGAAATAAAAAACCCGACTGCGCAGAATGCGAACTAATAAGACGAAAATAAGTTGATGGAGGATCATAGTATTATCCCCCCCAACGTGCGTTCACCTTGTCGTGGTGGGGGGTTGCTCCTGGTACTTCTCTGATAGCAGAGTGGACTGTGGAGCAACCCCATGGTTGTGGTGGTCTGCTTCGGCAGACCTGCCGTCGGGGCGTCGTAGTTGAATGCGTAAGCGATCCTGCGACGCCCCATTAAGACGGGGGAAGGTTTTGTTGGGTTTTAGTGGGTAGTACTGGCTGTATTACGCCGGTGAGTCCCACACGTCGTGCGTAAATGCATTTCCCAACGTTAAAAAAAAAAAAGGATCATAGTATTATGCAGTCGGAGACATCCATGTTTCATCCTTGCTTCAAGATGTATGTATGTCTGAAGTCTCCGTCTCATCATTCTATAATCTTATATGTTACTTACAACCAAATTCTCTATCCGCCAATAGAGGTAAGTTTTATTATAATTAGTACGGCATACGGGCATTACGGCGGGTAACAACAAGACAGTTCTAAATGACAATTTTGAATTCATAGATTCAAATTTTGACTTTCATTTTATTTATATATTTAATTAATAGGTATGGATTAAAAGGAAAACTAATTTGATAACAGACCTTGATTGTACTTACAATTTAAAATAAAATTAACGAGGTAAAGTAACTCTCACAAATGCGGGGCATGACGCGAAGAATTGGCTATGAATTTTGTAGGTAATTTAATTAGCAGTTATTATTTTTCTACCAATCTTTACGCGATTAATGTAAATTCGATTCTTTTGACATACCTTTTGAAACGGCTTAGATCTTAAGGACTTCTAATTTATATATAGATATACAACCAACCTGCATGTCTGAGAGAACCTAGCAAGTTTTCGAAAGACATGTGAAGTCTGCCAAACCGCACTTGGCCAGCGTGGTCGACTATGGCCTGATCCTCCTCGTATTGAAGGGAGGCCTGTGCCCAACAGTGGGAGGTTAAAAAGGGCTGAATACATATAGATATACAATGCCATGGGATATTATATGCCCTACACATCTAAGATACATTTATTCAAAAAATTAAAAAGTTTTTTACATAAATATTATAACTTTTAACGCGGTGGTAAGTGCTCGCATGGGAAACCGAGTGAACCGGGTTCAAATCCCGAGTCACATACTTCTGATATTCTCACGTGCGAATCATTTTCAACATGATTACCACTTGCCTTGCAGTGAAGGAAAACATGGTGAGGAAACTTGCATGTCTTAGAGAAACTAGCAAGTTTTTGAAAGACATGTGTCCACCAACCCGCACTAATTGGCCAGCGTGGTGGACTACGGCCTGATCCTACAAGCTTGTAGTCGGAGACGATGAGATGAATAAAATACAGTTATAACTTTTTAAATAAAAAGTTTGCGATCCTTGCAATGACAAACACTAACATGACATGCCATCTGAAAAATATAATTTAAATTTGAGCAATTTTCGAATACACACAGACAATTATGACAAAACAACACTATGTCCCACTCTCTCGTGAGAATATATTTTTACGTTATATAAAATGTTGACTTTCTTTTGTTTTACACTTGAAAACAAAGGAAAGAGCTCGGTACACCACTCTCGGTTTCATTACATTCCTTTATTTCCTTGCTTTCTATTTACCTGAGCAGCTTTTTAATTAATTACTAGTAGCTATTCTAAGAGCTAGCTATATGACTGTATTCGAGTACATGCAAACGAACAACCCAGAAATAATTTTATCCACATAGTATATTATTCATTTAAAAATGTAATATTTTAAGTTAAAATGGAAGATTATTAGTATCTGATGACACGTTTGGCTCAGTGTGTTGACCCTACTTGCTGTGCCCGCGGTCGCGGGTTCGAGTCCCGCTGGGGGCATTCATTTGTGTGATGAGCAGGAATGTTTGTACTCCAGTCATAGGTGTTTATATTTTAATATGTATGTATTTAAAATTTATATATGGTATCCATAACACAAGCCTCGTAGCTTACCATGGAACTAGATGGTGCTGTGTGTTAATGTCCCAACATATTTATTATTTATTTATTATAAAAAGAATTTTGTAGACAGATGTCTCATGTAAACCACTAGACTATGATAAAATCGAATTATAAAAAAATACAAAAGTAGACTAAACACTCCCTCCGTACATGTAACTAAGGACTGATTTGTTTTTAAATGTATCTTTATATAAGCTTGCTTGATATCTTAAAAATGAATAAGATAAAAAGACACATTAAAGTTTTTCAAGACTCATTTATTTAAAGCCATTACTGCCGATAGTTAAAGGTATGCTTCTAAAGTATAGGGCTGAAAATTTTGAAATCTAATGTTAAGGTAAGATTTCAAAAATTCAAAAATGACACCAAAGTACCTTACAATATTTGTCGATTTTAATTCTAAGCATTTTTTTTTTAATAAGTATTATAATTGAATATAGTAATATTATTTATTTAATTTCAGCTGTTATTATTATAAATATTACAATTAAAAAAAATATTAATTAATAATATTATTTAGTGTTGCTATTATTATATTGTATAATGTAATATCAGTAATAGGGAAGATTTCTCGAAAGGAGGGCGTCACACGTATCGCCTATTTACATTCAGTCTGAATGTAAATAGACGTATATGTACGTATATTCGCGTAAACGGTAATTCTAAGCAAGTATTATGTTAAGGTAAGATTTGAAATTTAAAAATATTTTCAACGAAAATTGTTATGAAGAAAATAGGTTAAATAGTTTTTTTTAAATATAGGATTTTAAATTAATTCAAGCTTCGTCAGTTTAGCAAATATCTGTTTTACAATGTATGTAGAAAATACTAATAAAACTGTTTTTTCTTTTATTGAATTATTTCTGAAATTAAAGTGTTTTAAATTAACAAACTCAAAAAGAGTTCTAATCAAAATATTTTCAATTAGAAAATAGGTATTAGGAAAAGAAAGAGAGGAAAGGAGTAAATTTTCGATTTAATTAGACATTCGTTTGGAAATTAACTTGTTTTTCGTTCGCAGGTTTTTAGGATTAAGCCAATAATCGAGTTCCGAAGTAACACGTATCGAATGCTTATGCATTACATTTATATGTGAGAAGGATAAAAAGAACTAAAAATTACTCGAACTTCAACAGCTTTTATACTTTGAAAGAACTCACCTCGAATATATGTATATACTATTGCTAACATTTTCATTTTAGTCGCATTGCTCATTTACAGTTTGAATACTATTTTAAAGATGTATTTTTGTGGTTTTTTATCCATTAACCTCTCTAAATTTATTATTTTTAGTTGAAAAGCCAGGAGCTATCCAATTGAAACGATTTTAAACATATTTTAACTTTTACTTCTGAAAAACTTTATGAATTAGTTTAAATTTTATCTTTATATCAGTAATTTTAATTGTAAAACTTACGCAAGAATCTCATAAAAAAAATAGATTTTATGCGCCATCTCATATACATTTAAAGTAAGTAAACCTTGGAAATGGTCTGACCAATGCGCTTAGGGATTGAAGCGTGATATCTATGAAATACGTAAAGTTAGCTTTCATTCAATTAGAAATTAAACCAATAGGATCAAATTCAAAGTAAACCTAACATTTCTAACGCGAGTATCGTAAAGAGTAAAATGCATTAAGGGTGTGGTAAAACAAAGCCAATTACAGCGCGTCCGGAGTACTAATAAATTATGAGTGGAACAACAACGAAGTATGAACAGAATGAAAAATGTACAACGCGACAGAAGACGGCTAGGTCCTGTTCGTTATTTATGACACTTCTCAAAATATTGTATAATTTTGCATTGCAATGTGCATTATGCATGCTTTGGGTGATGAATTCTTATTTTTTTTATAATAAGTGTTACTATATACTATACTATCAAAACATACAATTTTTATCTCATCATGTCCTGACTTCTGACTGTTCGTCAACGATATAAAAGGAACTAAAATTAGTAGCGAATTATTGTTTTAACAGAAATCACAAGATACTATATTAATAATAATTTATATGGGTAAGCCAATTTAATCCAAATTTTTAACTAAGCCCTAAGAAATGGGCAAGCTTTTTATTTATCTACTGGAAACTTTGACGTCTGTCACATAATGAAAAATGGCGATGTTTGTGGAAAATGTTAAAAAAACAAACGATCTATAAATGTGAAATTGTGATTAGTTTCATTTTAACCATCCGTATTAATATTATAAATGTGAGAGTTTGTGAGTATGGATGTTTGTTACTTTCACATAAAAACGGCTGAACGGATCTGGATGAAATTTAGCACAGAGATAGATTATAGTCTAGAATAATGCATAGGCTACTTTTTATCCTGGAAAAATGTATGGTTCCCGTGGCATAGGTTTGCTTTTGTTTTGATTTGTCTATTTAATATTTTAATTTGTTATTCCGAAATACTTACTAACGTTTTTTAGACTATACTTTTGAAAATAAAGATTTCTTAGAAATACAAGTTTATACACAGCTAAAGCAGCCTTCGACAATACGAAAATTGAATAAGCTTAAAAGCTGAAATTTTAAATCTCTCCATCCGTCACTTGCTCCACGCGCACGAAATCGATTGCAATTGCAAAAAGGATAGCTGTAGTCCCTTATATTTATTCGTATTTTTATATTTATAAATATACGGATTCGGACTCTGTATCGATCATAATGTCTATTTCAATTAGATTTTGCAAAAAATATTTAATGTACAAATTCGATTTAGTTACAATTTTATTATATGTATAGATTTTTCAAAAATCATGAAATTTATCAAGTAATTTTTGTCAAACGCCATAAAGGTATGACCGCATTACAAGTACAGCATAGATTGAGTATGACTATGCATTGGATAGGTATAATCGCTTATCGCTAACGAGTGCACACGACTTGCCTTCCAGGGTGTCGCCACACCCGGCTAGATACAAAGTACACTAATTAATCTTTAAACTACATATAACGCAAAACCATGATACGCTCACTGTGACATCATTTTACACAACTATGTGTTCACGTTATGTTGTAAATGATAGAGTTGGCTTTTAAATAGTTTGAAAAATAGAAACATGAAGAGATATGGCAGTTACAAATGTAATTTATATGTAGCTCTATATAAGCAAAAATGTATAAAAGTATGTATGTAATATGTATGTATATGCATATATGTATGTATATAAACATGTATGTATGTATCTATGTACGTATGTATGTATGTTTGTATATATGTATATTTATATTATAATTGATGTTTGTAGTTTGTACCCACACCGCACCGCATTATTATTTTTATATTTTCTCACGCTTGAGGGTTTCTGGTAGAAATCTCTTAAAGAGATAAGTCATCCTTTGTACACATGGCATATGTTTTAACTTGTATGTTTTTTTTCTGGTACATAAATAAATAAATAAAAGTGTTCTTATTTTTCTCAAAAATTAAACATAATCATCTAAAGAATGTAATGCAGTTGCCGGTCAGCCTTTTGGGTGTTTTGCCTTTTAAATTATAATTAACCGACTTCCAATTCCAAAAACTGAGGAGGTTCTCAATTAGTCGGAATCTATTTTTTTATGTATGTTTACCGATTACTCGAAGACGCCTGAAATGATTTGGATTTTTGTTTGTTTTAAAGGGTATACTTCCCAGGTGGTCCCATATAAATTTTATCGAAATCGGTCAAGCGGTTTTTTTTAAGATCAACAATAAATATTTTTTTTAAATAAAACTGTCTTTTCGGATTATTTCGCGGATTTATTTTGATTTTTGGTTCCCGACGTTTCGAAGTCGGTGCCAGCCTACAATATGTTAAGATATGAATATCTAATAGGTTTACGTATCGAAATATATTAAATTTGCTTTGCATTGGCTGGCACCGACTTCGAAAATATCCGATTAGGTATCTATTCTAAATGAAAACCTTTTTTTTTTTTTTTTTTTTTTTTTTTTTTTTAACGTTGGGAAATGCATTTACGCACGACGTGTGGGACTTCACCGGCGTAATACAGCCAGTACTACCACTAAAAACCCAACAAAACCTTCCCCCGTCTTAATGGGGCGTCGCAGGATCGCTTACGCATTCAACTACGACGCCCCTACGGCAGGTCCGCCGAAGCAGACCATCACAACCATGGGGTTGCTCCACAGTCCACTCTGCTATCAGAGAAGTACCAGGAGCAACCCGCATGGTACACCGCCCCCCGAAGAGGGCCACCTCCCACCGCCCACCGAATTGGGCAACCTCCCTGTGCGTTTCTTAGCTTCGCTACTGCTACTGAGCCCCCCCACCACGACAAGGTGAACGCACGTTGGGGGGGATTCTAAATGAAAACCTCCGTTTAGTTATGTCTACTGGCACCGACTTCGAAAATATCTGATTAGGTATCTTTTCTAAATAAAAACCTCCGTTTAGTTATTTTTCACATTTTAGTGAATGGAAGTCGGTTTTTTTTTAGTTTTTATTTTGCTTCTTGACGAGCTTTATTGTTATCAATAAAAAAATTACAAACAGATTTTTTTTTCTATAGATAGGCTGGACGAACACTATTCTAATTAAAATTAATACTTTTGTAACTTTTGTACACGTAACTTTAAATTCAACAAGTTCGACTAGTAAATCATTTAAATATAAGGACATGTGATTGGATAATAAATTTTATGAAACGTATTTTGTTACAGGAGATGCTGATACCTAAGGAACAATGTCGGGTCCAGCCAATAAGCGAGAGCCGAACTGCTACGTCGCTCCCTCACGCGCGACTTGCGAGGACTCCTTCCATATCATCTCAAAGCAGTCTTGACAGTGGCACTTCGAGGGCGACCGTGAGTTACATAATGTTCTTAATTTTGCTTTTTCTCTTATTTTCTTTGCATTTGTTATTTTTTCTCATGTAATTCTGTAGGTCGCAGGTTCAAATCTCGAACGGAGCATATTTTTGTAATGGAAATATTATTATGGTCATGTTATGATAAATTCTTAACTGATCTAATCACCCACACCATCTAAGAAGTATAATCTTACTGTAGAAAGAGAAGAACCTTATATTATCCCGAAACAAAATATGCGCGATAGTACAAAAAAACGTGTGTGTGTATTTATGTAGGCACATAAGACGTTATACTTCTTTAACAGAACGAAAATAGCTAAAGATTTCATCCCGTATGTCGCGGTTCTCTGTTTGTAAAAGGAATGCAGCTAACTTCATCATGTCGCTTTCAGCTAAGTTCATCATGTTGCTTTTTAGCTGTCGGTGTGCATTGTAAAAATTTTACTGTTATAATTTTTTCCAAACGTGCCAAAAGAAGTATAAGTTCAAAAATTATGACCGTATTGGAACCAATCCAAAATTCCAAGAGAATGCTTTATTATATATACACTGTACACATTACACAAATTAAAAACTGAACTTAAAAATGAAGAAAAATCCATATTTTAAATATTCATTCCTACAGACTTCGTTCATTTTTCAACATTCTCGATATAAAACTTTAAAATAATAGGAGAACTATTGAAACAAAGTAACTTATGAAGTGTATTCGAAAACATACGTAAAAACTTTTGCATTACACATCATACAATTTCCTAACAACTATTCCAACGTTTTAAATCGGAAGCGCTTTTAAATTGTAAACAGACATACATACCGATTCACGGTATGATATTTTCAATACTATCGTTGAATTTTCTCTTTACCTAACTAACTATTGAGAATTGTACTCGTTTTATTTAAAAATATTTTTATATACATATTTTTTTTGTTGCTGTATATTTTGCTTATAATTAACTTATATATAATAAAATTGTAACTAAGCCGAATCTGTACATTAAATATTTTTTGGAAAATCTTATTGAAACAAACATTATTATCGATACAGAGACCGAATCTATAGTTTTTAGAATTTTTGTCTGTCTGTCTGCTACTTATGTCAGTAACCACTGAAGGGATTGTAATGAAATTTGGTATGCTGATAGCTGGTTATCCGCATCAACATATAGGATACTTTTTACCGCGGGAAAATATCTCATTTCTGAGAAAAAATACAAAAACTGCATTGTAAGAGCATACTAATGTGTAAAAATTAAGAATTTGGTTTTTTCGTCACCTGAACGCGGGCGGAGCCGCGGGCAATGCTAGTAAAACAATATATCTTAAAGATTCCCGTACGAAAGCTACTGTGAGTCTAATCGACAGGTACTCGCTAGGTACTCACATGCATCCATGCATGAATACTCGGGTACATAAGCACTCGCATATTCTAACTAACAATTACGTAGTACGTAAAAAACATGTTAAGTTTATTTTGAAGTGTTTAATTAATAATAATTAATTATTTTTATCGATATGCGGTCATTGTGGTTGACACAAGCTTCAGTACTCCACAGTCCAATATACTGTTATTAAAACAATTATTTTTATATTTGTAAGTTCATATTTATCATTTTATATTTTTGTCTGCAGAATAAATAAATTTAAATAATTTAATAAATTTAAACTTGCATTTATGGACTATGGATAATTTTTTTAGAATTTACTTTGGAAAATAAATTCTAATAAAACTTTTATAAAGGAGTTTAACTGTATTATACTTATATAAAACTACAAAATACTCCCACATTTTCTTGCATACAAAATATGCTCTTTGACTCTATAGAGAAGGGCTTATGCTTTTAAGATTTACTGAATATTTAGCAATGAAAAATGCTATTTTTATGTCAGAGCAAAAGTTACGAAAACTCTAGTTTTCTTTATTCAATTATTTAATTATTTTTAAATAAATGGTGTATAATTGATCCCGAAAAAATATTTTATTTCAACTATAGATTTATTAAAACTAAGTTCATATATAATTACGTACATACATAACTAATATAATTATTAATGTTTGTGGTTGGTTAAATTTGCAAGTAATGGTGCGCGGCTAAACTAACGTAATGGAAAATTTATACATCGCTATACAAATATAAAATAATATATATACAATAAAATATATTTTTTTGTATGTATAACTTTTTTTCTAATTAATGTTGAAAAAATATATTGATGTTCTTCTAGCCAATTCCGGCTACGGCGGTCAATCTCATTGGAACTAGCCAACTGCGCAGGAGATATTATAGTGCACAAGTGTACGCGCAGACACAAGTGCACTCTCTATTCCTGTCACTCTCATACTCCGGTGGGACGACCACTCGACACGACCGGTGAGAGTTAAGGCGCAGGACCGACGGCTTTACGTGCTCTCCGAGGCACGGGGTTGAAACACCGCCATCTTCCCAACTCCGGACTGAGACTTACTATACAGAAAGACTCAATAACTAAACTTGGCCCGACCCGGGACTCGAACCCAGGACCTCCGAGTGTGCTGCCGTACATGCTAGTCACTACACCACCGAGGCACTTTAAAAAAATATATTAGGCATATATCGAATATCAAAATAATACTTTAACTATAAGCTTAGTTTTGAATTTTCTATAATTAAGAGCAGTCGTTATAGCAAAGATTTTGATTTGATTTGTTTTCCTTTTACTAAATACATTTATAGCGCTGAAGTAAGTGAATGTGACGACGCTTTATAATTGATCTATGCTGTTTTACTCTTGTGCAAGGTATTTTTGTTTACGGGATTCTATAGATTTCCGTAATACCCTATTACGGAAATCTATCTCTCTGTATTGCCATCAAACAAAATGTAGAAATATAATATGTATAAACCCAATAAAGGTTTATTTCTACAGATGAATAACGTGTTCTATTCAAATAATATGAACGTAAAGGATTAAATTTTATTAAATTCTTTAAGAAACGTCACGACAGGCTGAACTCTGGAGTCTGAACTGGAAATTTAATTTCCGCATTTTATGTCGACACACAGGTTTCTCAATATTGATAGTAACGCGAAAATGTAGCTTTAACAATCACTGTCACTGCCATCGTCAAGTCGACAAAAGGGTTCGAGAATATTCGATTTTGTTTTAACAGAACTTATTTTCCATAACCTCTTATATGAGATCTATCTACTAAAATTATAAAGAGACAGAGTGTGTTTGTTTGTTTGCTTGAACTCACTAATCTCAGGGACTACTTATGCGATTTGAAAAATCCTTTTGCATTAGATAGTCCGTTTATTGAAGAAGGCTGTAGGCTATATATCATCTCGCTACTCCCAAAGAGTCGAACAGTAAGTAATCTATACATATAATAAAATTGTAACTAAGCCGAATCTGTACACTGGATATTTTTTGAAAAACCTTATCAAAATAAACATTATTATCGATACAGAGGCCGAATCTATAGTTTTTAGAATTTTTGTCTGTCTGTCTGTCTGTTACCGCTCACAGAAAAACCACTGGAGGGATTTTGATGAAATTTGGTATGATGATAGCTGGTTATCCGGGTCAACATTTAGGACACTTTTTACCGCGGGAAAATATCTTTTTTTTGTAATGTAAGAGTATACTAATATGTAAAACCTAAGAATTTAGTTTTTGGTCATCTGAACGCGGGCGGAGCCGCGGGCAATGCTAGTGTAATATAAAGTCTATCTGTTCCTTACTAACTGTTACAACGTACCTAGGGCCGAACCCGAGCGAAACGAGGGTGAACCGCTAGTATGAGATTAAGTAAGTTAAATTTAGTATTTACTGTGCTTAAGTCTTTAATTTACTAAAGCAAAAAGATTTAATTTAAGTTATATTTTTTTCTCACTTCATACAAATTTGTTTACAAAGTCTTCAATAACATAATCATAATAAATCAAGCAATTAGTAGACTTTCGACGAGGCTTGCGCCGCCCTTCGCAGCCCGCTGCCCTGGGCGCTAAATACGCCACTGAATATATTTTTGATTTCATTAGATTATACTTAACCAAATCAAACTAAGTTAAAATAATATTTATTAAAATTTGGGCGGTTATAGTCAACTAAGTATATCCCTCTCTCACCTCTCATATTCTCATTTTCAACATGATTACCACTCCTTACGATGTAGGAAAATATAGTGAGGTAACTTGCACATGTCTGAGAGAACCTAGCAAGTTTTCGAAAGACCTGAATTCCACCAAACTACACTTAGCCAGAGTGGTGGAATATGGCCTGATCCCTCTCGTATGAAGTGAAAGCGGGTGCCCGGCAGTGAGGCGGTAATAAGGGCTTTATAGATTAATTTAACTTATTCTCAAAAATTACATTTCTTTTTCTTAAACTTTTCCTGAAAATTTAAGCTACTCATATTTTAGCTGGTTATTATATAATAACTAGTGTATAGTTACGTTTTAACACTTAGTATAGATTTCTCAGAGATGAGATATTTTCCAAAATTAAAAAGTATAGGTATATAAGACATATGTTGACCCGAATAATCAGTTATCATCATACCAAATTTCATCAAAATCTGTTCAGTGGTTTTTTCGTGATGTTTTCCTAGACAGACGGTTAGACAGACAGACAGACAAAAATTCTAAAAACTATAGATTCGGCCTTTGTATCGTAGTAATGACTATTTCAATAAGATTTTCCAAAAAATATTTAATGTACAGATTCGGCTTCGTTACAATTTTATTATATGTATAGATTTGAAGGTAAATACGAACAAATGATGTTTTAGTGATTTTATTATAATTTTAGAAATACCTATGTACGTACGTACGTCAATAAAAAGGTGTTCGAGTTAATTTAGAATAAAAGACAATCTCCATTTTCTCCATATGAACCCGAAAAGCCGACACAACGTGAATTACTTAAACACACTCGGAATCTATCTAAATGCATCAGTAATATAAGTCATTTACCCATTTGTAATAATTTTAGTTTTCTTAAAAACACTTGTCTAGACAGTAAGCTAATATGCAAATGCATCCACATTTAATTTGCTTTATTTAAAAAATAAAGACAAGAACAGAGAACTGTAATGAACATCACTGAGTCGTCGTCTTTGCAAAAACGTTCTGAAGATCTATTATAATAAAATTTATATATATATATATATATATATATAATTTAACATAATCATACAATTATAATAATGTACATATTAGTTTTACTATTTTAATTTTAATAAAGAAAACGTATTATAATCAAAATATAGTGGAATACAAATCGGCAATTAATATGGTGTTTCTACTGAATCGATTGATGCCTTTGTATTATGTAAATTGTAACTTTAACTGTTAAACTTCGCTTGCGTGTTACAATTGATGTATGCCTTATCAGTAGATGCTATCGGTAATGCAGGAGTGGTAAATAAAAACCTTAAAATTCGTCACTAAAATGATTTAGCATGAAGAAATTAAACATCGATAAAAGCTTGTCTGTGGTAGATTTTTACGAATATAATTTCTTGAGCATCATGAAACTTGTGACCCTCGGAACTAACACAAACAGCTATGCAGTATATTTATAATATGTATGTATTTAAAGTTATATATATGTAGTGTATCAACTATCTGGTATCCATAACACAAGCCTCGTAGCTTATCATGGAACTAGATGGTGCTGTGTGTTAATGTCCCAACATTTATTTATTATTTATTTATTATTAGTTTTCGACCAATTTCAAAAAAAAATACTCAATTAGGTTGTGCATTTCATAATTCTTTTCTTATTAGTGATGTTTTCATCATAGTGATTTTCAAACCAATGCATATTTTTATTCTTTATATTTTAATTCCATGTAATATTTTCGCCACTTGTAATATATTTTTTATTTATTAATTTTCCCATTATTTAATTAAAACAATTATGGCACTCCCAATAAATTATCTCTATGCATAAATTACATCACAGTATTTCTATGTCGAAATGTGAATGTAAAACAAACTAAAAAATACCTTTTATAGTCCTACAGATATATTATAATTCATTCCAATGAACTTTGCATAATCCTAATATTGAACAATAAATATTAAATGTGCCATTTCACAATCACGACCGTACGTGATGAATGTGACACGTTGATCTGCTTTTTGTTCTCATCACGAATTCTGTCAGAATATTGTGTACTGAAACATGCGTTTCCTTTGTGTAATATTCGAGTGACAAAGCTGGTGTTATAGTTGAGTTCATGTCTGTATACGTGACTATGGATATGGGAGTTCGCAGGTTTATTTAATATGTACATTATATTATACACTATAATAATAAAATCAAATCGGTACATAAAATATTCTATGAAAATAATGACTGTTATTTATACGAAATGTAGACCCCAAAACAATCGTTGTTGATTTTTTTTATCTGTATGTCTGTAAGTGTCCATAGATTGTTTTTGCAAAATGTTAATAATTTATAGCGTATAATCTTTCTAGAGGATCGCGATTGATGAAAACCGAATAAAAATCCTTATGGTAGTGTCTGACGTTAGCCTGAACAAACGCAAACCCAACTTTATAATATGTAATGAAGTCAAAAGCTCACATTACACGTTATGGCTTAAAGCATTATGCTAACTAAAAGTTATTCTATAGTTCTATCACAGAAGGAAAAATAACAAGGAAATATGTACTTATATCTTTCTTATTTATTAAATATTGAAACAAGATCGATCACATTATTCCCAAGGCGCTCATCTAAATTGAACAAAAAGCCTATCTAATACAACACTTACATATTAATCAAAACTTACGCAGTTTTAAATGTGACCTTTCTTAATTTTCACTAAAAAAGTGTGTTATGTAAGTGCATCGTATGTATATGTACAATTTACATCTCGCCTTTGACATTTTGCCTCCACAAAAGCACTTCGACCATTCAAAGTATATTCGTGCAACTGGAATAGCAAAAGTTTTCCAGCAAAGGGCTTCAGGGAACCAGTTAAACTTATGAAAACACTTAATTATTTGTGTTGTCACTTCAAATATTTTTAGTATGAAAAAGGTACAATTTATAATTGTTGAGGAATTTTTTATTTGAATTCGTTATTTCTATAACTGTTGTAATATAAAAAGTCACTTTTATTCTTTCAAGTCCTTATAAGTGACAGAAAAAAGTATATTATATAAATATATATATATATATAATATATAAATATATATATATATATATATATATATATAACGGTCTCTTGACAGATTTCATTTATATATACAGAAGAAAAATCTAAACAAAACCAAGCAGCTTGCTTGTTAGTGATTGTTCACGTCAACACTCAACAAGTAATGCTTTGAACATATATCACAGTTAGGAGAGTCATAATTTATTGATGGCTGGTTTCCAGCCCTGCTATGGCTCAGACTATATTACTGTTGTATTGTATACGGACTAATTACTCTCGTGCTACTCGTATTTGATACGAATCGGACGACACCTACCGTGCGTTGATGCCAATACCATGAGATATTCATTATTTTTAGGGTTCCACACATAAATAGAAAAAAGAACCCTTATAGGATCACTCCTTTGTCCGTCTGCCTGTTTGTCTGGGAACGCGTGAAGGTCCTTGAAATATTTGGATAATTTTAGTAAAAATCCATTTGCTTTCAAATCCCTTTTTATTTCTAAATCAATATTGACAACTATCAAAATATTGAAGTGTTCTATATTCGAACACATATATTACATTCCTCCAACACTAATTAAGATGTAAATTAAATAATTAAATAAGGCTACTCCTTATAATTTATAGTTTTTCTACTTGTTCTAATTGGATAACGTCGATTATCCTGAGATTGCGTATTACCGACTGGTTCATGCACATCAGGTGGATCTACGTCAAAAAATTCATCATCGGAAATTTCATTATTTAAGTCCGGTGTCACCTTCGGTACTTGTAAAACATTATTATTCTATTGGCAATAAGCAATATAGCACATGGAAAGTAGGTATTATTAATAGTTGTATCGGTTCTCGTATGTTTAAAGTTTACATACCGGAGTTAAATCTTTTACGATGCGGTAGGTATTCTCAGCTAGAGATGTCAGCAAAATGGCCCGTCGTCTCACACCAGTTTTGTCAGTCTCATCATGTACATTATTTGCTACACAATATTGTATGAATCGACTTTTAAAAATGCTCCAATCTTGTATATGATGGTCAAAAAAAACATTACCACCAAACGTTGAACCGATATTACGTTCTGCCATTATTTATTCTTTGTTTAGTCACCAAATTATGCTAAACACAATAAATCAATCCTCGTGAATTCGATAATCCTCGTCGCCAATGAAATATTTGGATAATTTTAGTAAAAATCCATTTGCTTTCAAATCCCTTTTTATTTCTAAATCAATATTGACAACTATCAAAATATTGAAGTGTTCTATATTCGAACACATATATTACAGTCATCAAGTTGAAATTATTATAAAATACTCAGATCTGCAATCCCTTGGAGCTGTGAAAAAATAAAACTTCTAAGTCAACGCAATCAAAAGGTACGGCCGTTTATGCCGCATATATTTTGACACTCGCAAATGAAACAAAACTTATAGGGTAATTCCCGTTAACCTAAAATCATGAAATTTGCCAAGAATCAATGTCTCAATAATGAAAAAAAGCAATGCCCAAGTAAAATTAAAAATCTAAAAATCGATAATTTGTGATTATATATAAACTTATGTAAATTTTTCATTCTACGGAACCCTCGGTGTGCGAGTCAGACTCTCATTTGTCCGATTTTTTAAAATGGCTAAGGATCTCTGACTATAATGAATGATACAGGAACGTATGTGTGTGTATGTAACAAACAGACTAACAAATACTTTCATTTTGATTGAAAACAAGAATTTGTTTCAGAGTCATCGCGGTTCATCTCCGGCGATACGCACATTTGCACCAGACGGACGTACTCTAGAGGCAGGAGTAGCTGGAATGCCTCGGTCACCCTCACCGCTTCGAGCTGCATCCCTGGATGTCCGAGCAGCGTCCATCGCTCACGGGTCCTTAGCATCCTTAGCTGACTCTCCCGCACCGCCCAGCCCAAGACATGTGCCACCCAGATGCCTTTCCCCATTGCTAATGCCTCCAAGGTAAAGCCGATAAGCTCCAACACTTAAACAAAATTGAATTGTTATATCCGAAATGAGCTTTTATGTTTTTATTAATCCGGGTGCGCCCCTAGGTACCTACGTGTTAATTTTTTTGAGCGGAACGCTAATTTTTTTTTTCTAAAATAAAAGTAGTCCAAGTTACTCCTTATAACATCAGATATCTACCAGTGAAAGTCCCGTCTAAATCAGTCCAGCTGTTTTGGAGATTAGCTAGAACAAACAAAAGATGGACAAAAATTAAAAAAATGTGTTTTTTCTTATAAGTACCGTATATCATTCATAGGCATTTAGTAAAAAAAAAGCTGTTATTTTGATATTACAAATAGACACTTCAGTTTTATTTATCTGTATAGATTCTATCATTATCTTTGACCAATGAAAAGAAAAATAATAGAATCGTATTATGCAACTTTGTTTCCTGTTCCAAGTAAACCTTAAATATCTATAGGAGCTCATTCTAGTTAGCCCAAAAAAAAAATTTTTATTATTATTTCGCTGTATATCATTTAGACAAGTATTATAGTCGCTGTAATTTCTCATTGCTTGCTCTTATAATATCGCAATTACAATGTTTTTATAATTCATATTTATTCTAAAGCCTTTAAGGGTTACGCGACGTTTAAATATTACGCCAGAATACCCGATACGCAAAAGATACCGCTCTGAGAATCAATCTAAGGCGGGCGTGTCCCTCACAAATTGATATAAACTTAATTTGCGCATCCAGGCCTTCTTCTGACACTCCACTCATTACTTTGTCCTAACAAGCCATCTTTACTGATATAATTGCTATATGTTAACGGGATAATTGAAAGACTACTAAAAGAGCATGCGTTACGTCTATACATATAATAAAATTGTAACTAAGCCGAATCTGTACATTAGATATTTTTTGGAAATTCTTATTGAAATAAACATTATTATCGATACAGAGGCCGAATCTATAGTTTTTAGAATTTTTGTCTGTCTGTCTGTCTTTCTGTCTGTCTGTTACCGCATCACAGAAAAACCACTGGAGGGATTTCAATGAAGTTTGGTATGGTGATAGCTCGTTATCCGGGTCAACATATAGAATACTTTTTATCGCGGAAAAATATCTCAGTTCTGAGAAAAATACAAAAACTGCATTGTAAGAGTATACTAATATGTAAAACCTAAGAATTTGATTTTTGGTCATCTGAACGGGGGCGGAGCCGTGGGCAATGCTAGTATGTGATATAACGATGTTCTCCTAGCCGATTCCGGCTACGGCGGCCAATCTCATTGAGACTAGCCAACTGCGCAGGAGATATTATAGTGCACAAGTGTACGCGCAGACACAACGTGCACTCTCTATTCCTGTCACTCTCATACTCCGGTGGGACGACTGCTCGACACGACCGGTGAGAGTTAAGGCGCAGGACGAGGTTGCACGGGGGTGAAACACCGCCAACTTCCCAACTCCGGGCTGTTACTGAGACTTACTATACAGAAAGACTCAATAACTAAACTTGGCCCGACCCGGGACTCGAACCCAGGACCTCCGAGTGTGAAGCCGTACATGCTAGCCACTACACCACCGAGGCAGTTAGATATTATAAGCATTATAAGAATTGGAGTGGAGAAACACTCGAAATGCTTCATTCGTTACCGGTGTTAGGATTTTAGAAATCAAGTTTGAATTAAGTATTAAATGAGGTCAGGTCTGAGTGAAGGTTGAATTATTAAATAATAAAGGCGCCACGAGTGTACATTATTAACATCGTGAAATATATATTTCAACGTCCCATAGGCTGTTTAAATATTAATGCTTGGATTACGACTTGATGACATAGCACTGTGGTATGTGAGACACTATGCCTTTATTATGAATAGCTTATAGTCATCATTGTTGGTCTTGTTAGTAGATACGTTCCACTATATATATATATATATATATACGTACCTAAATTTATACATCTATACATATAATAAAATAACATATAATAAAAAGTCGAATCTGTACATTAAATATTTTTTGGAAAATCTAATTAAAATAGACACAATTATCGATACCGAGTCCGAATCTATAGTTTTTAAAATTTTTGTCTGTCTGTCTGTTACCGCATCACGAAAAAACCACTGGACAGATTTTGATGAAATTTGGTATTATGATAGCTGGTTATCCGGGTCAACATATAAAATACTTTTTACTGCGGGAAAATATCTCATTTCTGAGAGAAAAAAACAAAACTACAATGTAAGAGTATACTGTAAAACCTAAGAATTTGGTTTTTGGTCATCTCAACGCGGGCAAAGCTAGTCTATATAATAAACTGGTGATGACTCGTGGCGTCTTTATTATTTAATAATTCAACCTTCACTCAGACCTGACCTCATTTGTTACATTATTAGTGGGTAGCGTCTTCTTACAACTCCACCCGAGTCCTTTAATTGTGTCGTATTACCCGCTCTCCTATGACAATAACCTTTTTTTTAATTAGGGGGTCAATAGCCCTTTTTTTTTTTAACGTTGGGAAATGCATTTACGCACGAGGTGTGGGACTCACTGGCAAAGCCAGTACTACCCACTAAAACCCAACAAAACCTTCCCCCGTCTTAATGGGGCGTCGCAGGATCGCTTACGCATTCAACTACGACGCCCCGACGGCAGGTCTGCCGAAGCAGACCACAACAACCACGGGGTTGCTCCACAGTCCACTCTGCTATCAGAGAAGTACCAGGAGCAACCCGCATGGTACACTGCCCTCCGAAGAGGGCCACCTCCCACCGCCCACAGAAGTGGGCCACCTCCCTGTGCGTTTCTTGGCTTCGCGCCCGGTTGGGTCGCCGGGCACTACTGAGCCCCCCCACCACGACAAGGTGAACGCACGTTGGGGGGGAGGGGGGTGGTCAATAGCCTATCCTAACCTGCCACAATAAATAGGCCATACAACGCACAAATATACCCAGATTTAAAAATAAATTACATTTTTTTTCTTTGCTTATGACTAAGTGCATCTGTCATAAAAAACTATAAATTTTGTATTTTATAGTAATTAGGTGTTTTATAATATTCTTTCTTTTTCTTTCTCTTTCTTCAACTTGATTTCTAGGAGCATAGTTATGAAGCATATTGTAATTAAAACTGAACCAGACTCATCAAAAGACTTAGTTGGTAAAGATCTTTTTTACCATTTTTCCATTTATTTTTCTTTTTTAATATTATTGCTCACAAGCTACGTAGCTCTGGTGCTTAATCTTTCGAACTATTGCATCGACAAACTTTATATACACTAAGCTAATTGTTGAAGATGAAGTGATTCGATGTTATTAGTGTATACAATATTTTCAATCTATTTTAGACGAATAGACCGAAGCAACTCCCTAGTGGAAAGCAGTAGCGGAGTGCCCCTCAGTCCTGGAGCAGGGGCAGCTATAAGCGCCTTGGGAGCCCTACAACCGGACCTTTACACGAAAAGAGAGGCCCCTTTAGTCATTGAACTAGAGGGCGCAGGCCCATCTTTAGGAAGAATCCACTTACGCCTGAAATACGACTTCGATAGATCGGATTTTGAAGTTCATCTAATCGAAGGTTAGTTTAATTAAAATTGTATTTGCCCATTTTGTCAAATTTTCTTAAGTGAAAACGTAAGAAGTGTTAATTAAATCCCATCAACCATCAACAAATCGTTTTCAATCAACAAACAAATTTCTAGATTAAAATATACAGAGTAGAGTGCTTTTTGAGCATTGTAATAGGAGAAAATATTCGCTGTTTCATTGCATAAAGTGGAAAAAGGTAAAGCAATATTTTTGAAATAAAAATTTGAACGAAACGAATCAAAATCGGAACAAAAAAGTTCGAACCCTAAATTCATATGACATTATTGCTCTTCTGCGACTGCAGATTTATAGTATTTTATTTTTGTAAATGTGTTTTCCTCAGCCGTATAGTAATTTTTAACTACAGTCAAAATGGTTATTTGTACAGATTTTTTTCTCAAATTTAGAAGTTAAATAGAGCATACAGATAAATAGAGCAGCCATATTAAATTCTATTATATTAGCGTATACCTAAATCCGCTTAGGTAGCAAAAAATAAAGGTTTACCCAAACTTTGTTTACGCAGTCGTAATATTATAATAACCGCACCAGCTGAAATGTATAAATATGTATGAGGTATTTTAACAGCAAAAGCTAAAATGACCATGTAAGTAAAAAAAATAGAAAAAGGTTTAAAATAAACACTAACACAATCTTCACAAGGTTTAACGAAATCGCGCTCTCATATTAATATTATCTCTTACAAAACGATTTAAATTCATTTACTACATCTCGGTATCTACATGTTACTTTTTGATAATCATTTAATATTCCTCACCTGGTTTCTTCGCTACATCACATAGAAGATGACTAGAAAAATAGTACTATCCATAATCCACGGATTATTTCACGTAATAAGAGAAATCAGATAGAAATATCTTACAATTTAAGCAATAGAGTGAAGTCAGAAGAACATAGAGCAGAGCGAAACCAAAATATGATTTATGAACACACTATGTACTTATATTTGCTGTCAATAAAATTAATGATTTATTTAAAAAAATAACTCGTAAATAGTTAATTTTATTTTTTCGCCGTAAGAATCGCTCTCAATTTTTATTTTGTTAATCATATTTCTCTATTTTTAGCTAGCCGCTGGATTCTATGATTATTATATTTACTATGCCTTCCCAATTTTATATTACGTGTTACTACGTCCCATCCTATTAACTATCATTTAGCAGTTTTGCCGAAATAAGTAAATTGGTTTGGCTAAAGACAAAAGTTAAACGGACAGACAAATAACTCTTTCATAATTATTATATAATGACGATATTAGTAAATATACAAACCAACATAAAATATTATTTAAATTTTAGCGCACGATCTCGCGGGATATGAAGCGGGAGGATTCAACGACCCTTATGTGCGGGTCAGTTTGCTACCCGAAGTGGACACGCGGGTTCGACAAACACCAGTCCACAGGAACGAGGCAAATCCTTTCTTCGATCAGCATTTTAAATTCCCTGTATCTCATGACGAACTCACCGATAAAACCCTGCTACTACAAGTATTTGATTATGACAGGTGAGACAATATTATCATAAGTTAAAAAATAAATCTTAAAATAACACCAGAAAGCCATCTATCCATTGAATTAAACAAGCATATTTGCTAATACGTAATTCACAGGCGTTTTTGCATTCTGGAATAATAACCCGCTTTGATAATCATCATAACGCCGTGTGACATGTTTGATTGACACTGTATACGATATTGAATATCGTGGGATTGATTACTCTATATTGTGAATGTTCATATTATTATGCCTACAAAGACTTTCTCGATTAAGATAAAGTAGTTAATATCGTCTTAAGTGAAGACAACATTTTACATTTTTACCAATTTGATCAGTTTTTGTAATATTCTCTCTCTTCTATATCATACATACGTCTCTAATTCGTCCATGGCTTAGATCTTTTAAACTACGCAACGGATTTTAATGCAGTTTTCAGCAATAGATAGAGTTATTCAAGAGAAAGGTTTTATGTATAATACATGCATATTATATTCATACTAACCGTTAAAACGTACACAGGGACGAACCCGAGCGAAGGATGCGACAGTCACTAGTTTTAATTAAATAATCGATGTTTTATAAAGAGTAACATAAGTATATATTTTATAGTTTATATATTACCTTTTAGTACATTTACCCAAATAGCCCTTAAAATTTCAAGGTTTTCACGCAACGAAGTGATGGGTTCAGCTAAAGTGCCTCTCTCACGTGTGGAAGTAGCGGGCGGGGCAGAAGTATGGGCAGAGTTATCCCGTGAAAGGAGACCGCCAGAAGAATTGCAAGAACTCTTACTTTCTCTTTCGTTCTTGCCGTCTGCTGAGAGACTAACTGTTGTGGTGTTGAAGGCCAGGAATCTACTGCCGCCTCAAGAAGGAAAAGATGCTTTAGGTATACGAATATAGTTAGAATTTATAGATTTAGGATCAGCTTTGTAGATATACTTAATAGCATTTTGCAATTATATTTGTTTTAAAAATTAACTTAGCAAGATTATAAATGTTGGCTATATACCTACTATAAAACTCATTGTAATAAAGAGTTCATTAATGATGATGACGAATGTTTGTACTCTGGTCATGGGTGTTTATATTTATAATATTTATGTATTTATAATTTATATATGTGTAGTGTATCGACTATCTGGTATCCATAACCTCGGCCTCGCAGCTTACCATGGAACTAGATGGTGCTGTGTGTTAATGTCCCAACATATCAAAAAAAAAATATAACAATATATTTCATTCACAGACGTATATGTAAAAGTGTACCTGCTCGTAAATGGTAAACGAGTCAAGAAAAAGAAAACGAACCGGAAAGAGATCAATAGCCCCGTATGGAACGAAGCGCTCTCTTTCAGTCTTCCTTCCGCGAACTTACAGGACGCTTCTATTGAGGTAAACTAATATTTTAAATAAAACTAGTTTATCAGTTATATTTTGATTTTTGCTCCCGACGACGCACGTTTAGAATTTTTATAACATTTAAGGTTTTTGACGTCTGAAAAGTTTGCGTTGTTATAGACAGTGTGTACTGCTTAGCATATTTTTTTTGGGGTAAAAAACCGTGACCATTTTTGCTGTAAAGCAATTGAAATAGCAGGAACATATAATAAAAAAAACGCAACAATATCCAAAAAAATAGGTTTATTTATTTTAAATGTCAAATATTCTTGTAAACCTAACAAAGTATTATGAGGTAAAACTTAAGAATACTTCCCTAGTATTATAACTTTCCTGGTTTGAAACGCTGCAAGTGGATAGGCAGTTGATAATTCGAACGACGTATTTACCAACGGATAGAATAATTCGATTCGCTGATGTTTGGTTAGCCTAATTTCAGTTTTGCCACATAGATACATCTTTGTACGGTATGGTTGCATGTATGTCCGACCATTGACCATTATTTTACATTGCGTAATAGATCGTTGATTCGATTTCCGCTCTGTGTCATTTGCAATGACCATATAATATTAATAATTATTTGTTCCAATATAATGAAAATTAAGATTGGTTTAAAAATCACTAAATATGCATTACATTTACAGTACATACGTCTCAGTAAAGGCAAGTAATATTTATATAAGTTACAAATAATTTTACTGGCTTTACTCTAGTCTCTCCATTTGTTTATACAGTATGCTGAAATAATTGAACTATACACATTACACTAGGCTTACCCTCGTTTCGTTCTGAATGTTATCATAGAGTATACCAGTAAATTATTTTTGTTAATTATTTATAATTTATAAATATTTTACAAAATAGACTGGATAATTGTTATTTGATCTTTCTATTGGTGAAAACCTTGTGACGCCCACTTATTGGAGGTGTCGGAAAATAAGCCGTCTGGGAGCTACAACGCTGCCTAAACCCTTTGAAATATAACAAAATAATGTATGAAGGAATTGTGTAAGTATCTTATATACTCGTAGGTCTACAGAAAAGTCCGCGATGGCATATGTCTATCTCTTAAGGATAACATACTATATCCATGTTCATTTAAAACGTACTTAGGGACGAACCCGAGCGAAGCGAGGGTGAGTCGCTGGTATAACACTAAAATAATCAAAGTATTCTTCTTCTTTTTTTCTTAAAATAATTAAAGTATTTCTATATCTATTAGTATTCTTCTTGTTCTTTTAGGTGTGTGTAGTGGCGGGCGGGGGCAGCGGGCTAGTGGTTGGGTGGTGCTGCGTGGGCGCAGCCGAACCGGCGGCAGAGGGCCGTCACTGGGCGCAGATGGCGCACGAAACGCGCAAAGCTGTGGCCATGTGGCACACGCTCAGATAAATGTGATCTTCATCTTCCAAATTATATATAATGTAACTAACTAAAACACATGTAATTTAAATTTAATTGTATTTCACACGCACTCACTCACCATGTTTAGTATGTTAGTAACCTTAAGTCTTCCTATGAAAGTCACTTTGGAGTTAAATTTGATTTTCAATGATTAGCCCCGGATAAACGAATTCACAAAGTATGTTTAAAATTAGGTAATATTATAAAATATAATCTATGTATCTTTACATATTTATCTATGCTATCCAATTTAAGGATGAAAACAGAATTGCGAGGTCGTTAATGTTAAAAATAATTAAAAAGTTAAAATATGATGATGAATATACGCTATTCCTAATAAATTTTCTTCTGAACAAAACTTCAGCGCAGTAAGTATATTCTTATGTGTATACTAATGTATGAACTCTACAACACGTGCCACTTTCAGTTGAGTTTCATGGTAATTGCTCGTAATCATACATACATATTATAAAAAGCCTATCTAATATCGTTTAGAGTGTATAATAGAAAGAAAAAATAATGTTTCCTAGAAACTATGTATATGTATTTTATCTATGTAACTGTATGATTCATTCATAGATTAATTATTAAGAAACATTATGTATTAAAAGAATATTAAATGTTAATCTTTTGACATACAGCACAAATTAATAGTAACAACTTTGAAGGGCTAGTCGTAGTCATAGAAATATTAAATGTATACATAGAATAGGCAAAAAAAAAGTAAATTTTGAAAAGTGAGCAACCATATAGCTCTGTAGAAATACAACAGAAATATTTGTTTCAATAATTTAAAAACTTAACATATTAGAATCGATATAGGTATTTTATTTTTTAAGCCCTCATCGACCGCGAACACGCCGGCGTTACAGTTAACAATAGATTTCTTAGAAATTTACCTGGAGGTGTTAAGAAGAATAAAACATAAATATAACATAACACATGGAGGAACTAAAACTAAACAAAACGTACCTGTTGTGAGTGGCAGTCATCTGCCCATATACCCTCTTTATAAAATCACAACCATTGCTGCGTAAAATAAGGAAAAACTTACAAGCACTCTATCGTATCGTATCGTTCAATGAATCAAGAGAGACAACAATTATAATAGTAATAATGTTAATTGCCTACTCTACATGATACATTTATATTTCTGTACTTATAGCATCTTATTAGAATGTATTAATTATGGATCCTTCCTAGCCTATTGATACATCGCATTTAGTTAATAAAACATATATAAAAGTATATTGTGATCTATACTATAATCTGCAGATAGATAAATCACTTGTAACGTATTATATAAGATTGTATTTATGGTGTCGTAAATCTATTTTCCTTAAAGGCTCTACCTAATATTGCCTTTTGAAACGTTAAACGTAAAGTTGCTAAGTACTTCGTATTCATATTTAGTCTGTATGTCCTTAACTGTGGGCGTATTTGTACCTACCTACATGACGCTACTATTAAAAAAATATTATATTACTATATCAATGTATATTGTCAGGCACTAAAAGTGACCATCTAATGCAGCAGATGATACATGACTGCAAGATTTACCTAAGAGGTAAATGATCACTTAGGTAAGCCGATATAATACCAGTTTGACAGTTTGAGTAGTGATGTATTATCAATCTCAAAGATTTTATCTTCTGATGATGATTCTGTGTATCGAATGTCGTCTGCCGATAACCATACCACGTGTCTAATATACATAATTTTTTTTTTCATAAAGTATATAATGCCTAGAATCGCAACAATCGAATATACATCGTCCAATTCAAAAAATGAAAAGAGAAGTGTATTTATTTATATGAAGATGTTTATAAGCTCTACCAATACTTTAATATAAAAAATTCGTTAATATTACTATCACAAAATTATCCCAAACGTTCACGCCTATTTGAAACGTCTACTTTATTGATATATTAAAGTTTACCCTGTTATTCACTTAATTGTACCATAAGTATTGTATGATATTTGAGCTTTGGGAAACACCAAACAAATCTTATGAATTTATACATTTTATATTAAGAGAAATATTATAATTTTTTAAAACAACATTTTTAGTCTATAGTCCAATAGATAAGTTCTTTTGTCTTTGCCCACAGTTACTCTATGGTGTGTATGGTGTACCTTGTATCTAGTCATTTCATTGTGATTCCTTATTTGAAATAAGATTTGTAATGTCGAATTTGATTCCAAAATATACGTATTTTTGTCTATATAAGTGTATCGGTGTGATAAGTATTTTCATTGATTTATTTTACAATGTCTATTAAATTATCTATTTGTATATGGTGTTTTATTTGGCAAGTCAAAATAAAAGTCGATTGTACAATTAAATATTTTATTATCCTCTTTATTTTACACTATGTACATTGATTAAATAAAGTAAATCTAGAATGAACGTAAAATGTCCAGTGTTTACCATTAAAGCTGGCTCAGTCGTAAAGGGAACACCGGTACTATTATCACTATTAAAGGTTCTAACTTACCACTCCCGCCGCGACGCCCGCACTGTCAACGGCAACTAGAATTGCATACACAAAAATGAAAATCTGGATATAACATAACATTGTTAGTTGTATGTATACATTGTATACATATATACAAAAATGAATATCTAGCTATAACTTTACATATTGTTAATATACACAATTTAGGAACTTATGAATTTTTCGAATTAGAAGATATAAAAAAATGTCAATAAATAAATAAATTTAAAATTATAATTGCTATATTTATATATCAAAAAATTCCAATTTTAGTTATAGACATGATATAACATTTTTAATCGATAACAAATCGATATCAAATTAGTTGGTATTTCATTATTATTTTCAACCGACTTCAAAAAGGAGGAGGTTCTCAATTCGACTGTATGTTTTTTTTTTTTTTTTGTTTTTTTTTTTATGTTTGTTACCTCAGAACTCCGTCATTTATTAACCGATTTGGAAAATTTTTGTTTTGTTTGAAAGGGTATACTTCCAGATAGGTCCCATTTAAATTTCAAAAAAAAATACCACCCCTAAGGGTCCACCCTTATAAATAAACTAAATAACTAATGATGAATTTAACCTACTTCTAATTGTCATATTGACTTGAAACTTTGCAAGTATTTCTATTTCCGTTGATAGTACAGTGGTTCGGTGTTGTTGACTTGATCTGATGGCAAGGCCAGAAGGTGGATAGGTGGAACTCTTCAACGACTAATAGTAGATACTTTGAGTTTGGGCTTATTTTGTTTGATTTGACAAGCCTAACACTTTAGAATTCTTACTTTGCTACTACTGTCTACACTAAAAAGGGAAAAATAAAAACTTTTTAACAAAAAAATAAAAACCGACTTCAAAGAAAAGCACTAAAAAGTAAAAAATAACTGATTGGTAGTTTTCATTTACTATACATACCTAATCAAATATTTTCGAAGTCGGTGTGCTTTGCTTTGTATGGGCTGGCACCGATTTCGAAAATATTTGATTAGGTATGTATTTAATAGGTAGGCTTTAATTACTTAGCCAAAGCACACCGACTTCGAAAATATTTGATTAGGTATGTATAGTAAATGAAAACTACCAATCAGTTATTTTTTACTTTTTAGTGCTTTTCTTTGAAGTCGGTTTTTATTTTTTTGTTAAAAAGTTTTTATTAAACTAAAAAGCAGATCGATTGCATTTTTTTCAAAGCCACCGTTTAAATTCTACGGTTAGGAGTGGAATATCTTGTAGTGAGTGTATAAAAAATAATCATGAAAATCGGTATAGAATTGGCGAAGATAGCGCGTGTACGTGTGTTATCACACGAGTACATAAAAGTAACGTACATCCCAATTCTTCTATTTTAAGTAAAAATAAATTATTAATGTACGCCCTTTTACATATTGAAGTGTAATTTATGAATGTTAAGGAAGAAAAATAAAAAAAACGATAAAAGGATCAAGTCATTTTACCAAATACCTATAATATAATCTGAGATCAAATGATATGAATATGCTGGTACAAAAAATATTTTACTTCTAACAATATAATATTACGTGTATCATAATGGGAGTACGGCAGTGTATCACGCCAAGTCAGTGTACTTAATTAAAATAAAAATAAGCATGCAAAAAAATAAAAAAAATCTACATTAATACTTTACACATAAAGGCATCCATAGGCTGTAGATACGGAAAGTAGGAAGAAAATGTATTTATGTATAGTTTACGTATATTTGTATGTAGGGCAGTGTGTATATTTGGTATTGGTGTAGTGTGGGTGTTATGTCATTGTTTTGGGACTTTTGGGTGTATGTATTTGCATTCTGCATCCCTGCAACTGCCGCTGAATTCGAAAGGACATAGAACGCCATTCGGATCCTCTTCCCAGCTGAAAAGCATTTATTTTGGATCTATTACTTTAATGGCTAATGCCCGTGTTTTTGTTGTTTATTTTCTTATCATAGCCATGTTATAATGAAGAAAATCTGTTCAGCCACTTTCGACAAATATCAGACACGGCCAAGTAGAGAATATGTTGTAGATTATGTGAAACATGTAATCACGTGGATATTTAGATGCATACTTACATCGCAATGCAGGACGCGATGTTCGTACGCTTGGCCACATCCCTTAACATTTAATTCATGTAATGATATTCGAGTTTAGAAACTCGTGATTTATTACACCTAATGAAGAATTTAAAATTATCGGTAAGACAATTAAAATACTATGTTAGTTTTAATTTAAAAACCTAATCCTTAATTTGAAAAGATTTCAATATTAGTGCCTAACGCGATGTATCAATCAATATAGTTATAATAAATATAAAAATAATTCAAGATTCTTAACATCTCACGGCTTAGCACTCGGCTCCACACTTGGCGAGTGTGGTGTTTCCACGCCATAAAAATCTCAGAGCTGCGAGATATCTGAAGTTTGCGCTCACAGCCAACTTCACTCTGTTTTTAACCGACTTCATTAGCGAGTGTTTCTAATGAGCTACATTAATGCACAGTGCAATAATCGAGTCACTACAGCCAGAATATGCTTTTATTCAAATACTCTATACATATGTTGGCTATTGCGCTACTTCCAAGTGTCACAGCTAAAATACTTTCTACTACTGTTAACAAAAAAATATATTTCATCTGACTGACTAATAGGCACTAATTTTGAAAATTTCTAAAATTTCTTTTTGTTAAGAATTGGAAATTGAACTCATTACATCAAATTTATCAAAAGTCCAAACAATTCTTTTATTAAAAAATATTGTTATTTAAATATGTATGTATAGTTAAAACAAATTGTCTTTAATGTCTCAAATGTTAGAGAAATAAATGACAGCTATATTAAATTTAAAATCCTTTACAAAATTAAGTACTACTCACTTTTTACACTGCAACGCATCTAGAGGCGATTTATATTCATTAAAATTGTCTTTAGCCTTATCATTATCAGGTAAGCATTGTAGCCTTTTTGACTCTACTTCATGCATAATTTCAGTTCTTTCATTAATCCACTCATCTTGAGTTTTTTTTTGACTAGGCTTTTTAAAATCAACTATTCTATCTTTAAGAGGACTTTTTGGCAGCTTTACGATTTTTTTATTATTACATACATCTACTTGAACCGATAATTTTGGATTTGGATTTCCTGCTGTGGTCTCCTTAAAATCATTGACGACACATACTTTAACTGCTTTTAAATTATTAGGATTTTTATGTTCTTCTTTTAAAGGATCATTCTCTTTTTGTAATTTATTAGCGGTAACTTTATCTATTGACGGTCTTATATATAAAATTTGGTTGGAATGTTTTATAGGTGAGCTGTAAATATAAAATATACGTTAATTTTAGTTCATGAAATGTGTAATTTTAATATATTGCATAAATATACCTTTTTAAAAGTATTTGGTGTTGATGTCTTATTTTATACAAGCCATTCTGAACTGTTTTCTGCTGTCTTTTGTTCAACGTTATCGCGGTTGTTATATTCCGTAGCTCTGTTGCCACTATTTTGTATCGTTGTGATAATTTTGTCGCTTCTTCTTTCAATTTTAACATTTTTGCAGATTCTTCAGCTATTCTTTTCCTAAAAACAATTGTTGCCAAGTTAAACCGTTTAATTATTACTATCTAATCTATCACTGTTATGACTATTTAAAAAAATAGCTCGAGTTTAATTTATCATTACCTTGACAGTGCAATTTTTTCCTCTAGCTTTTTGGCAGATTCTAACTTATATGACTCTAAAGAAACGTTTCTCGATTTAAGAGTTTCTTTAGTCATATTATTCATAATAAGAATATTTTGTCTAGCCTGTTTTACTTTTTCTAATTCCGCCATTCTTTTTACCAAGTTTTTATATTCTATTTGTTCTGATTTTGGGAGATGATTCATAGCCTAAAAAAAGCAAATATTAGGCTTATCTATATATGCAGTAAAACAAACGAATTGATTCCAATCTAACCTTTGCAACAAATTTTTCGGGTGGTCTTGGTAGAGGTTCTTGGACAACATCCGGTAAAGTAGTCTTCTCTACTTCCATTCTAGTAGATTTCAAGAAGAGATCCAATTTCTGCTGGAATTCAGCCTGTTTCGATAACTTCATGTGCATTTCTGTCAAATTTTTAGTAGCTTCGTCTTCTCCTTCTGAATCTGATTCACCAAGTTGAATTATGAACTTCTTTTTTTCTATGTTTTTAGGTTGGGTCTTAACCTTGGTATCCTCATTTTTACTCTCTACTTCTTTTAAAGTCTTATCTAAAACATTAAGGTCTACAAGATTTGGCAGATTTTTACTTAAAGAAGTCAATAATTTGGCTCGTAATAAATCTTCATCTTCTTCCAATTCATCATCTTTTGAAACATTTTGGGATCCATCACTTGGTTTTGTATCTGGTTTAGAACATTCAGTTATGTACACTTTCCCTTTATCGTCACCATCTGAACCTATATCCATATCTACAGATTCTATATCTGTATTATTATCTACATTAATATCATCTTGGTTACTTATATCGAATTCGTGCATATTGGAGGACTGAGAAAGTCTTTTTTGTAACTTTTGTTTTTGTTTCATTTCGATAGCTTTCTTCAATAACGCGGACTTAAGACATATCATTCTTAATTCTGCCGTATCACTGTCTTCATCCTCCGAATTTATATCAGCTTTATTTTCAGAATTATTTTTCTCTGACAAGTCATTCTTAGCCTTAGCAGATTTTGTTTTAAGGGCATGCTGTCGAAGCATTTCTAGATCCTCATCTGAAGTACCGTCACTATCACGAATTTCTTCTTTTTTCTCAATAGAACTGTCTACAACATCTTGTGAAATATCAGTATTTTTAATGGCCTCTATACTTTCATTACAAGTTGGTGTATCTTTTAATTCTACCTGAACTAAGCTTGGCTCTTTATCAGATGATTCTACCTTGTTATTCTTAATTACATTTTGCGTAATTCCTTGATTACTAACTTTATTTGCACTTAACATCTTAGTTAGCCTATCTTTTAATGTTGATGTATCATGTTTTTCTTTATTAAAAGAAACTGCATCAGCCAATTTACGGCGTTTACTAAGATAGTCATCATCTGAATATTGACTACTATCACTATCACTTTTAAGGCCTATTTTTTTCTTACGATGATTTTTTTTCTTATGATCTTTAATCCTTCCTGGGTCCTTATCTATCTGTCTTAATTTTTTTGACTTGTGATGAGGCCGGACGTGTTTTTTATCATTAGAAATCCTCAATGTTAATTTTTTGAAACCACATTCTGGATCTGTACCAGAAATTTCAGAAAGATCACATAATATTTCTCTTCTTGAATATTCTTTACCTAAAATCCGTTTTTTTATTGATGCTTAAACTAAATTATCCACAATGCAGTAATTTTTTTACATGCAAAGTAATTTACCTTCTCAAAGATTAATATTAAAAAATAAGTGTAAAGAAAATTCAGGAAAACTATCAAATATTGGAACAAAATAATTTTTAATTTATTTTAATATGAGTTCAAGATACTTTATGTAGTAAGTATAATTAGTCCATGGGCAGAAGAAGTTGGGTAGAAATCATTTTAAATGTAATAATGATTGACAATCTTCAATTGCAGCCAAAAAAAATGACTTTTACTATTTAGGTCTTAGTAAGATATATAACGTACTAAATTATATTATAAAAATGGTGACATTTTTACGCCTTTCTATCGCACAATATTGTTAGAATTTTGTATAAGAATGTTTTATTCCTCCTTCACAAAAAAGAATAGGTGTACTAATGTCATACCTATATTAAATAATTAAATGCAATAGTAACACCAACTTTGTGCTTTAATAAAATTACTAAACAAGTTTATTGACAAGTACAAAATATCAGGAAAAAATAAATAAGTAGTTTATTTAAAACTTTCAGTAAAGTTTATCTGTAAAATAATGTTTGTTTTGTAGTTATTATAAAAATATAATTGTTTTATAATGATAAATTAAAGAAACCCAAAAAAATGATGACCACTTTGTACACTTATTGTATACATATACATAGTTTATGAAGGTGACCATGTAAAAAAAACACATTTGGTGCATACTTAAGTAAGAATCACTCAACTTTAAAATAATTATATATCCAGAAATTATTACAAAAAATATAGTAATTTATGAACTACAAAATAAGAGAATGTAAAATTTATTTATATATTCTACATACCTATTCATCTATTCAAATAAATTAGATTTCCATTAGAATGATGCACCTAAGCAAAGCCTAAGCAATCAAAAGCATGTTTTTATCAAGAGGTAAAATTAAAAAGGTTCTATTAATCCCTCCACGACCACGGACACGCCGGCGTCACAGTTAACAATAAATTTCTTAGAAATTTAATTAATTTCTTAGAAATTTAATTAATTTCTTAGAAATTTATCTGGAGGTGTTAAATGTATAAATAATATACTTAGCATAATATATTATAAATTAAAGCTTACTTTATGATTGATCATATATAATTACTAAACAATACGTTATATCAGAAATTAGATAACCATACCTGATCCGATTGATGTTCTTTTGGCTTCTTTACGTTCAAGGACATTGTTATAATTTTCTAAGACCTGTAATCTTTGCCGTAATAAAAACTCTTCCTCTGAAGATATATCAGAAAGAACATCAACTTCATCGACTATTTCTCCCTCTTCCATTTCAGAATCAGCATTTGCTGATGGAACTTCGATGCAAGCCATTTTTTAACTTCAACAAAATATATGATTACTAAACAAATAGAATATAATAATTTAAAGAAATTTATGGTACTTACTTTGAAAAAATCCTTATCTTACAGCAAATTTAACATTACTTAAAAATTTAATATAGATTTACATTCAGAAAAGAAAGGCAAAACACTTGACCCTTCTCCAATCTCCATTACTGTCAAAATCTGAATGTGAATTCTGAAATCTTTCAATAGACAATTTGTAGACGTCAAATTGAAGCAAGCATGGATTGAGATTTACTCTTCCTACCTACTGTCATTTAATAATTCATGGATGATGGAAGAGAAAAACAAGGAAAGTGCTAAGGAGGCGTGGCGCGCGCGTCTTATATACATACATAGCAAAGCTTAAGTGATCATAATCACATACTATGGTATGGTAATGGTATATGAGTCTTATTAACAGTGGAAAATATTTTTCTTTAATTATGGATATTGTTACTTTTAACTAAAATAAAACACCAATATTTCATAAGGCAGTGATAGCTCAGTGGTAATGCGCTATCTTGGGAATCCGAGTGAAGCAGGTTCAAATCCCAGGTCTTGCACCTCTGATACTTTCATGTGCAAGTTACAAGCCTTACTGTGAAGGAAAACATCATGAGGAAACCTGCATATTTGAGAAAACCTAGCAAGTTTTTGATTGACATGTGAAGTCCATCAAGCCATAGTCCACCACGCTGGCCAAGTGCGGGTTGACGCACTTGGCCAGCGTGGTGGACTATGGCTTGATTCCCCTCGTATTGAAGGGAGGTCCGTGCCCGGCTGAAAAAGACAAAGGGCTGAATACATGTCATTGGTTGTTTATTTGTAGTGCAATATATGAATAATAATGTATTTGTGTGAGTTCGGTAACACAGGTTCTGATACAAATGTAGTCACATCGCACTTCCCTTGCTTTTTATCTTCCGTACTTATTATCATAACTTGACCGTAATGTTATCACACATTAGTTTTTATTTATAATTAATTAGCTGTGTAATTATTTATATTGTTTGATATGAAACTTAATAGTGTCATTTAAAAAAAAATCCTTTTGTAATTTGTGTCATCTCGCCCGATATATTCAACGAAATCTCAACGAAAGTGTAGAGCTACCTGAATATTGCAGTTTTGTTGTGGGTGTGTCTCTGGTCGTCGACAATCAAGGATTTTATATATGCTATGGAATATATAAAATCCTTGTCGACAATACTCAGTAGCCGCGCAGCCAATTAGCGGGTAAACTACCGGAAAAGCGGGTAATTTTTGGCGATTTTTGATGGCGGGTAATTTTGTCGAGTATTTGCATTTTGTTTAAGTAGAATTGGGATTAAAGCAGGCATTTAAGTTTAGCTGGAAATTTGATATATTAATTTTTTTTATGATTGATTTAATAATTTAAAGCTGTTTAATTGAGAACTGATTACACTGACTTCTTTTTTTTTAATTTGAGCTTTCTTTTATTCTATATAAAACAAGGATTAATTACTTAAAAAAAAACTATTTTCGGGTATTCTGCTCATGGTTGGCGCCGGCGAGATAAACCGCGTATTTTGAGGTTTATTAGTCAGGTAAATCAATGACTGTTATCTGGCAGCCCTGCTAAACTCATAAGTCATACATGACTTTGACAGAACAAAAACAAAACAATAGACAACATTGTCAACTTGTCAATATCTTTTTTATATAAATTATTAAAGATAATTTGGAAAACAACTAAAAAATATTGTTTGTTTTTTTTCGGATAAATTCTAAGAGTGATTTAATATAATTAGACTTTATTATACGAGACCGGGTATAGTATACGCCCCCAATCGTCAACAGTTGTCATTGAGAAAAAAAGAAATACAAAAAAAAAATATCGTTCTAATTTAATATTAAATATTTAAAAATGAGCGAGGAAGAAAATTATAAATTTGCGGCTTGTACCTTCTTTGCGAAAAATCATCCAGGAGAGATGTGCGGAAGTAATGGTCTTCCTTTAACTCCTAGCTCGATTACTATTCTAGGCAGATCCCAACGATTATTGACAATAGAACATCCAAATTTATGTACATATCTCGATATTATACGCGGCAAACATGGTAAGTTTTATATTCATATTTTAAATTAATTAAATTTTATGATTGTCGCTCTAAAGTCTTAAATGAATAAGTTCTTTAAATACTAATAATTTCCGATAACAATTATGTTTTTAGAAAGAATAATAGTTGTAGCTGAAGTCATTGGCAAATCACTCGCTGAGTATACAAATAAGTTTAATATGGAGGAAATCATAAATATTGGTCTCCAAGTATCAAATGCAATGATGTATTTACACGAACAAGATATAACTCATAGGACACTAACTGATGACAATATATTGCTTGATAGTTATGGAAGAGTAAAACTGTTTAATTATGGGTTGTATTATATGACTGATGAAGGAAATGAGGTTCCATTTCCACTTGGGTTAGTTTTTGTAACATTAACATTATGATATGTGTTATCAAATGTATATAAATAATGAAACATAATAATTATAATAATATATAATTAATTACTTATACATGTGATATACACTATAAAAAATTAGTTAATTTTGTTTTGAGAAAAATATAAACTTTTCAGTTTACCTCGATATTTAAGTCCTGAAACAATACTCAATGGTGGTGGTCCATCAGCCGATGTGTGGACATTTGGCATTATCCTTTTAGAACTCTGTATTGGAAAACTTTGGAATAATTTAAAACCTGGGCCAACTTTACGGAGGATATTAACATTAGTTCATGCTAATAACCCCGCTGAAAGGATAGCTAGAGAACATGATTGTATGGAAGCATATAAGGTAATTAAATTTAATCTATTTTAATATATAAATCTGAAGAATTATGATAAAGATGTTAGTCTCTGGAAGTACTTTTAATTAAATAATTTTAAATTATTTATATATACATTTATATAAACATATAATGTTATGTATTAATTTCCAATAGTTTCCAATGGTTTTGCAATAGTTAAACATAAATAAATATGAAATATTCATATTACAATTTTTTTTATTTCAGAATGTACCAGGAGAAGTCAAAGACATAATAGAGAAATGCCTGAAAATTTATCCTAGTGAGAGAAGTACATTTGTGGAACTTCACAATGATCTAAAAAAAATTAATAGTCAAATATTAGAAGATATTAAGAAACCTCGAGGACTAATGGCATGTAAACTACAGTATCTTTATCATTGGTGGCAGTTGGCTGGAGGTGACATACAGGCTGAATTAAAAAAGAATGGACTTATTAAAAGTAGTCCACCTATATTGTCTATGCCACTGTTAGTTTTAAATTTATATATTAATTTTTTTTTAATTTAAACATTACATAATATTCACTTAAATGGTAACTTCATAGTAACATAAGACTACTCCTTATATGGACATGAAAATACAGGGTTAAAAAGAGATCTCAATACTGATAAACATTTATTCCAAGAACCATAATATATATTACGACTAATAATATTGAATATCTTTCATTTATTTTAAATTTTAATACAAAATTAATTACATTTTAAAACATTTTGCGATTTGCCATCAACCTTTTACAAAGCAAGCGATTAGCAAAATGTCTATTTTAGTTATAGTTTTCATGATATCCAGGAGAATCTTAATATCACCTCGTGGTTATCTTGGGAAGTTTAAAAAAGCCCTTTAGCCGTACAGAGTGTTTTTACACTTCTCCCTCCTATAAGATGGACGGGCCTATCAATATATATCTCATACAGATATACCCAAAACTATAAAATATAAACAGATGTACCCAAAACATATGTTGTAATTAAGAATTATCCATTTTCATCACACTGTTAATTAATAAGAAAACTGGTTTCAGTGCAATTCTTTTAGATGGAGGTACAATAGGCGGCAAAAGTGGAGCTCTTTTTGATCGTCGAATTGCAAAATACAGTTTAGATCTATTAAAGAATCGCCTAAGTCACATTCCACCACAAGATTTCTACCCACTAATGCATGAGAGAAGGAAAGACTATGATGCAGTGGCATTACCGAAGACCATCAGGGAACGAGATACAGAGTACCAGTTTTATAGATTACTATGGTTTCAAAGGCTTTTGCATGTAAGTTGGTTTTAAAGGTATTATCCTTAATTATTATAATTGAATTGTTATTAGTTTTGTTTATAACAACTTTTTACATATTTATTCTTGATGCTTCTAAATAAGCGTGAGAGAATTTGAGAGGATCATATGCATTTTAAAATTAGATACTTAGATACTTTATTCAGAAAACACAGGCAAAGAACCAGTGCCGGCCCTAGCCCTTCATCAGAGTAGAGCGAGATTGTCTTTCTGCGTCCATTGGTCGACCCTTTCACATCACATAAATGTATTTTAGTTTATAATAAATAAATAATAATAACAACTTTTTTCAAAAATCAACTTTTATTGCAAAAAATATTATTTAAATTGAATTAAATAGCTCTAGTGACATCAACAGAAGGCATCAAAATTTTTAGTTCAATTCAATTCTCTTGTTAATGTTTTCAAAACGTGCCAGTGTAGTGCATCAAAATGTTATTTCTCACTCCAAATTGAGTTTCGCATTTGCCATTATGGTGCCCTTTGCCACCTGTCTCCTAGAGCGACTGCTTCTCTCGCTCTACCTCAAGGCTGGCTCTGCAAAGGACATGCATACATGACTGACTAACTGTAAATAATGTTTTCATTTATTGTACAATCAAATGTCTACAATATTATTTATTGTAAAATCAAGATGGCGCCTGAAGCTCCACCGGAAATTGTCAGCATTTTGTGATATTATACTCAATAAGTGATCCTAAACCTTATAAAAACAAAAAATTGGATCGGAAATTTAGTGCAAAGTTTACCAAAAAAAAAACATCTATTTTTACATGTCTAATTGTTCTAGGGGTATCCATATACATCGCAATATATAAAAGCTGAAGCTGAAGTAGACATACCGCCGCTAGTACGCGGTGACGTGTGGGCCGCCTTGCTCGGGGTGGTGGGGGATATAGAGGAACAGTATGAACAGATTGACAAAGAAACACCCACGCCTACTGATAGACAGGTGTGCATATTAGATACTTTTTTAGAGTTATGCGAATATTTGACATTTCGAATAAAACTGTCAATAACAACGTTAAAATTGACCTTTGAGATGTCTAAGACCTTAGCCTCTCCCGTGATCATGATTGGTGTGGTAGAGAGAGAAGGCTATATAATGTCTTGTTGCTCGGTTTTTCTTTTTTGGAAACTGCATGCTATGTGTATTGTTCAAATTGTAATTAATTTTTCATTAAGTTCAGTGAAAAGAATCCAAACAATATAGAGTTTGTGCTTGAGAATTTATTTCATATTTGTTTCATTTTTTACTTTAAATTCGATGAATGAAGATACAGACTATCACTTTATACTACAAAATAATTTATCAATTCTATCATTCAAGCACAATTCTGCCGTCTGTGGTGGGGACTGTGGTGGGTGGACTCATTTAATTAACTAGAATTAAACTGTCATTTTGTCTTTAAAAATCGTTACTGATTCTGGTTAATGATCTCAGTGTTACTAGGCCAACCTTTTATATACGCTTCGCTAAAATAATAAATAAATCAATAAGTAGAGACGAACTCGAGCGGAGCGAGGATGAGCCGCTAGTATACAATAATAATAATTCAAAATATGTGTAGATCGACGTAGACATCCCCCGCTGCCACCAGTACTGCTGGCTGCTGTGCGGCGCGGCCGGGCACAGGACGCTGAAGCGCTTGCTCAAAGCCTGGCTGCTGACGAACCCCCAGTACGTGTACTGGCAAGGACTGGACTCGTTGACTGCACCATTCCTATATTTGAATTTTTGTAATGAAGGTAAGAATTTATTTTCTTTTTATGTATGTATTAGACAGGAGATGATTTTTTGCGTTTTTTTTAATAACAAGGCCAGTTCATATTTCTTGCAATTTGCGCAGATTTGTTTGAATTGAGTGATAGAAATGAAATTGAGTTATGTTGTACATTTGAAATCGGTCAAGCTGATCTCACTTGATGCCCCATTGTATATGTATGTAGATATATATAAAAAATCTATAAATAGTAAAGAGAATAGTGTACTTCTTTACGAATACACCTGTCTACTAGCGATATAAATCGCTTACGTCATTAGTTACATGTGAATGGGGCAGTGGTAGCCTAGTGGTAATGCGCTCGCTTGAGAAACCGAGTAAAGCGGGTTCGAATTCCGGGTCTCGCACCTCTGATATTTTCATGTGCGGGTAATTTCCAACATGATTACCACTTGTCTTACGATAAAGGATAACATTTTGAGGAGATTTGCATTTCTGAGAGTACCTTGCAAGGTTTGAATCAGCCAGATCAGCCAGCTTGGTGGTCTACGGCCTGATCCCCCTCGTATTGAAGGGAGGCCCGTGCCCAGTAGTGGGACGTTAAAAAGGGCTGAATACAATGTGGCTAGTCGCCGGTACCGAAATCGGTTAGTAGAACATTATTATTATTATCTTTAAGATTTAACTTTCTGAAAATTCTTAGGATTTTAGTATTTAAGGAAGTCCGCGGGCTTGAGCTAAGAGTACTTCATTGGTCTTGTTAGGCTGTTATATTAACAGCTTCCTCTTAAAGAAATTTTCTTACTATATATACGGCATGTATTATTTAAGTTAATCTTGTTTAGAATCGTTGTGATTTCAAACTCGATGAAACTGAAATGCAACACTAAAACGAGACATACACAAATATATAGGATAAAGCCGGCGAGAGAATGAGAGAGAATATATTGGCATGTTGCCATGGTAACCGTTGTTATTGTCTGACAAATATATAATATTATATTCTTTCAGTTTATGATATTCTATAAATATATAATTGTAATATGCCTTATTTAATTAGTAATTTGATTTAATTTAATTGAGATATTTGCCAAAAAAGTTCTTTTTAATTATTTGAGTTAGAATACATTACACAGGAAGTGAAAAATAATAAAATTAATTACTGAATAATATGTAATGTATATTTATGTCAAATAAAATGTAAAATAACTTTTAAACTTGGTAAAAATATTATAAAAAAATAAACCTTATAATATTATCCTACTCCTGATACTCTATATTCATCTCATTCTCTCGTAACTTTTCTGGAGTTTCAAAATCTACCGTGTGTGAATTGCAATTGAACGCGTCCCTCAGTATGTACATATAGCATTGCTACAATTTAATAGATGTTATTATGAGGAATAATTCCGTAATACATTGTTTTCATATAACTTTATTGGTTCACGCGGCGCACGCCAATAAAGCTCCCAGTCGGCATGATTTTTTCCGACATCTTAAATATTATTCGTCATATTTCAGCTAATTTACACAAAACCTTAATGAGCTATATACCTAAATCTTCCTCTCGAACCACTCGGTCTATTGGTGAAAACCGTATGAAATAGTGATCGGTAGTTTTTGAGTTTATCACGTTTAAACAAACAGACAGACTCGGTGAGGGGACTTTATTTTATAATATGTATTGATAGTACCTTTTGTTCTCAGCTCGAGCGTTCGCCTGTCTATCAGCATTCGTGCCACGATTCTTACACAAGTTCTTCTTGAAAGACAACAGTGCGGTTATAAAGGAGTATTTGGCAAAGTTTTGGCAAATGGCGGCCTTTCACGAACCAGAGTTGGCAACACATTTGCACGATATCAACTTTGTGCCAGAATTGTTTGCTATACCATGGTTTTTGACTATGTTTTCTCGTAAGTTTAAAGTTTTATTATTATTTATTGCGTATAAATTATTGTTACATCTCGTCCCAAAAGGAAGGAAGTATTAGGAAATGAATGTAAGCATTGGTCGGAAATCGAGAATTTCTTTTAAGTAGAGTTCAATAAAACAATAAGTTAAACAAACTCATTGGAGTCTGTATATAATATGCTTATTGATATCTAAAGACATACATGTTTGCTAACATATATCTGTTCAAAAAATGGCGTCGACGTATGACTTTTAGTCAAACCAAAGAATAAAATTCCAAAATCGAAAGTTTTAATTCTCTGAACACAAAATTCGAATCTACGCACACCGCATAAAGTACTTTCTTAAACGAAATAACGTGCCTTTTAATTTTGTCATTCGAAAAGCAATGAACAACAGAGATTTGAACAAAGCGCAATTCAATTTCGAATTGTGGGCTTCTTTTTGAGGTGACTTTTGAGATGCTAATTGTGCATATCGAGTTTTTGTATATCAATGTAATGTGCGTATTAAGTTATTAAGAAAATTTTAAGTTCCTTATAAAACCGCCGATTTTTTATTATTAAATATTTTGAATTTTAAAATATTTTTTTTATATATATCTTAATAATTATGTTATATTGTCAATTATTATAAAAACAATAGCTAAACCATAATAGTTTCGAGAAGGAACCCTCTCTAGGCTAATTTGTGTAAAAACCATAAAGTACCTACTGGCTAAGCAACTTGGTCGTGGAAACGCGTTTTACGTTTCTTATAATCCTCTTCTATAATCCTTTTCTCATGAGAAAATCGTCATACTGACGTATTTAGATTCGTTATTTAACGATCTGTGGTCGTGTGAATATGCTGATAGAAATTTATGATCAAAACGTTTATATATTAATTTATGAATAAAATAAAACGATTATTATTAATCTTAAATAACAACTTTTACCCGTGACTCCAATCGTTTATACCCATAGCCATTTTGGGTTTGCACGCACGATTTCCCAATAGATATTATTTTAACTCGCTTCTTGTACCTATCTCGTATCTCGGTAAAAAACACTAAAAAATCACTTAAAAATATTATTAAGCTCATATGTCAGTAAAGTGAATAATCTTATATATAAAATTTCCATGTCATTATAAATATATTTTCCATTTTACTGTACTGTAGGATAAATAACATTCATTTTATCCGACTATAATCGGAATGAACCCAAAATAGTCTATCTCACTCTCACCTGAATTCTCTAACAACCCGTCCCATTAAATTTGGTTACGCCATTTATTCTGTTCTCAATTCCACTTTTAACTTCTCGTTAAAATCTATTGTGGATGACCTGAACCATGTTTTTATTTATTTATTTAAGCCTTCGAACGGTACTAAATAACCATATAAGCACAAATTATTATGAGTAGTTATTTTCAATTCGTAGACATATTCCTGAATTTTATTTATTTATTTAGTACATATATCTTTAGTATATTAGAAGGTTGTGTGTTCATATCACGTCGGGGTCACAGCTTTGGATTATGTAAGAAGATAAAACTAACTCCAATAAAATATTATTTGCACCAGTTTAATAACGTGTAAACCTAGTAATATTACATGACATAATATGTACCTATCAATCAACATATAAAAACTCTCTACGTACGATTTTTATTTGTAAAATTGATCTTTTTCAGAAAAGACACCTAATACATAGATAATGTTAAATAGCAAAACCTTATCTAAACACAAAATTTGATCTAAATCGTTCGAGCCACGAGATACGAAATAAAATGTGTATACAAGAATTACTCATTTAATATTATAAAATATATGTATGTATGTACATAATATGTTCATATGCATCTACATATATGATGATGATGTTCTCCTAGCCGATTTCGGCTATGGCGGCCAATCTCATTGAGACTAGCCAACTGCGCAGGAGATATTATAGTGCTCAAGTGTACGCGCAGACACAACGTGCACTCTCTATTCCTGTCACTCTCATACTCCGGTGGGACGACGCGAGACACGACCAGTGAGTGTCGGCGCAGGACCGACGGCTTTACGTGCTCTCCGAGGCACGGGGGTGAAACACCGCCAACTTCCCAACTCCAGGCTGTTACTAAGACTTATTATACAGAAAGACTCAATAACTAAACTTGGCCCGACCCGGGACTCGAACCCAGGACCTCCGGGTGTGCAGTATATAAAGGTATTATGATATAACAAAGTTGTATGTTACATGTTCATTTTAGACGTATTCCCTCTCCACAAGATCGTCCACCTGTGGGACGCGCTGCTCGTGGAAGGGCCGTCGCTGCCGTTGTTCATGGGCGTGGGGATTCTCAGGCAGTTAAGAGACACTTTGCTAGACTCCGGCTTCAATGAGTGCATCCTGCTTTTCTCTGATCTACCTGAAATTGATATTGGGGAGTGTGTTAAGGTATATTTTTGCTATTTTTGAGTGTTGTTTTTATATATTGTTTTAATTTTTTCGCATTCATTATGGTGTCTCTTAGAATTCATTAGTATAATATTAAATGAAAATATTATGTTTCAATGAAATACGAATGAAGAGTTTGTTATTCTAATGAAGTATTTGATATTTTATATAAACATAGAGCAGGAACATAGCAATATTTATAGTTAAATTATATTGAAAAGTAATATCAAAAAATTTAATAAAACAATCATAGACAAAGTCGTGGGAAATTTCCAATATATCAAATATATATAATGCTATAACAAATTTAAATAGAATAACTAGAAATCCGCCATATTGAAAGGTCAATGTTCCAAATGACTGGTATTTTGCTACTCCACTATTCCTCGGCACGTCTCGTAAAATCCTCTTAAGCATTGCTATATCTGTGTAAGTCAACCTTCGTAATTACGAAGAACCTCGTGATTAGTACCCATAAAGCGAACAAAACACGTAATTAAACCACTCGGAATGAATACGCTATTGATATTTAAAGAATAGCAAACCTTATGTCGAAAACAATAAGAGTCTTAAGTGTATAGTTTTATTGAGAGTCCGTTTAAGAAAACTTTTTATAGTTTTCCCATAATTTAGTTTACTATTAAACGTCTAGTTAAATGATTGTTTGTAGGTCGACGTGCTTTGCGCCATCTTTAATATTCATTTTAACTATAACTTTAAATGTTTCTCGTTAGTGGATATTCTATTATGTGTGATATAGGTAGTTAGATGTCGATTTTCAAATTTTTGTTTTGTAAATAATTGACATGATTCTTACATCGAAATGAGTACACTTTCTGTATTTATTTCGATTAACCGAACGTTTTTCAAGTAGTTTTGTTCTGTTCCATTTTAACAGTTCAAAGGTTATTTTATTGCCTCTTGGTCGGAATAGTTTCATACATATTGGTAACTCCATTACTAAATGATATTTTTTTTAATTATTAGATATAATTAAGCACGTAATGTTATAACTGTGTAATCAAACTTTGTTAAATATTACAAAAAAATAACAATGCAACCTCATTTTTTAACTTATTTATCGTATTACTCTTTGATAGGAATCAATAGAGATGTTCCGCAGCTCGCCACGGAGCATCAGTTACCGCAGATTCACTAATGAACCGGAAATAAAGGATCCTATGGTAGGTTTTTTTTATATATCTCCAGTTTCTGTCTGTTTTGCAGTGAAATATTTACAAAACACATCTCCGTTTGAAAGTTATACTTACTTTACACAAGCTTTAGCTAAGCTTTAGCCAATATAATTCAGACACTTGTAGGAAATATATTTCTATAATACTTTCTTAGATTTACGAGAATATTTGACGTTTTAAATAGAACTCTGATCGAAAATGTTTTTGGATAATTATGCGGATTTATTTTTATTTTTGGTTCCCGACGTTTCGAATGCTTTACAGCAAAAAAATAGGTAGTGGTAGCCCAGTGGTAACGCGCTCGCTTGGGAAACCGAGTGAAGCGAGTTCAAATCCCGGGTCTCGCACCTCTGATATTTTCATGTGCGAATCATTTCTAACATGATTACCACTTGTCTTAACGGTGAAGAAAAACATCGTGAGGAAACCTGCATGTCTTAGAGAGCTTAGCAAGTTTTCAAAAGACATGTGAAGTCCGCCAACTTGCACTTGTCCAGCGTGGTGGACTATGGCCTGATCCCCCTCGTATGAAGGGAGGCGCGTGCCCAGCAGTGGGACGTTAAAAAGGGCTGAATACACAGCAATCATGGTCACGGGAGAGGCTTTGAGACGTTAAAAAATTAGTTGGCTATGGCGGACTGTACACATTTTTTAAACACTTTAAACATTTTTTTTTTAAACATTTTTTTTAAGTTAAAAAATATTGTAATGTAATTGGTGCCATTTTCATTTTGTTAATTGCGGGTAGGCTGTCTGTAACAACTATACCTCCAAGACATGTAACACCTCAGTCTCTCCCGTGACCATTGATGCTGTAAAGCATTCGAAACGTCGGGAAACAAAAATGCAAATAAATCCGCGACAAAATCCGAAAAGATAGTTTTATTTAAAATGTCAAATATTCGCGTAAATCTAAGAAAGTATTTTGTTTTTTTTTTTCATTGTGTTCTGCTTCTTACTTTTGTATTTTTAATATAACCTGATTGATTTATGTGTTATCCTATTATTATTTATGTAATAGTGTACTGTTTGTTTCCCTAAAATAAATAAATAGCTATTAATTATTCAGTTATAGTCATAGAACCTAAGTTTGATGTTTACATAAATGCAAGTGAGCATGTGATTGGACTAAGTATATACTTTAGTCTTCTTAGTGGACACGTGACATCTTGTGACCTACATAGCTTCTTATATACAATGCGATATGTAACTGATTTGCTTTTTTATTATTACTTTATTCTTAAATTTCACTGTATATATTAGTAGCTTGCTTCCCAATACAAACTTTCAGCCCCATTTTCACCCTCTTTAGGGATGATTTCCGGGATAAAAAGAATCCTTTGTCCTTCCCAGGGTTTCAAACTATTTTTTTTACCAAATTTCATCTAAATCGGTTTAGTAGATCCAGAGATTACCAATTTCAATTATACAATCTCACAAACTTTTTACCTCTTTATAATATTGGTATAGATAAAGCTGATATTAACTTTATTTGATGTTTTGTTTGTTTATCCGCATTGAAACGATGAATACGATTGGAAAAATATTTTTGCATATTTTAGCGTGTTTATTGAGGGAGGTTATTATTTATTTAAAGGTCTATAGGCAATAAACCTTAGGAGCGGAGGAAATTATACATAATTAAATTACGCGATCGTAGGCGCAAAAGCTAATCATTCTACAAATATAATTATTATAAATTGAATCGTAAGATAGATCATAGATATTTAATTCTCTCATTTTCTCTTAACTCATTTTAAACGTATAATAACTTAAAAGGTAGTATGAAAAATTAAATAACAATAATATTAATATTCCAATGAATTTTTATTATACGATTTCATTATATTTTTTATGCTTACCGTCTCATAGCTTTGATACTTCTTCTCTAGGTAGTATTGATGTACAAACATATAGGTAAAGAAGAATTTTTTATTGAAACGGAAACTCAACAACTCACCAAATTTTAATCATAATGGGATGCGTAGTTTAGGAACTCATAGAGTACAAACAAACAAAGAATCATTCGTTTTCATATGTATAGATGATTAATATAAATACAAGTATAACTGCATATTTGATATTACCATTTCTTGTACGTATCTAATAAAATCGAACGTGCTATTTCCTTAAGACTGTTATCTCTATACATCTTATCCAGCACGGATTGCTGTTCTCGGAATCGTTCACATAACAAAGTAATTACAAATTATTATGCCCATTGTTATCTGTTGAAGTTATGATACTTCGCTGCTTAGGTTATTTTAATGTTCATTGGATAATCGATACTTATTAGTTATCTATAGATTTTTATGGTTATTTGATTGCACTATTGACTAAAAGTTGAATAGAAGTAAGTACTTGAGGTACCTTCTAGTATAATTTTGCAGTTTGATTTATTCAATAACAAGCATTGAATATTTGTATATGCAACTACTACGTCAATAATAATACAATGTATGTATGTATGTGTATGTCCAAAATTTAGGTAAACCGTATGTATTTTTAATTATTATCTCTCAACCTAGCAATATCATTTTAATGTACTTACATAAATACTATGTAATAGCAAAACTTATTGATTAACAGTACTTACTTGTTAAGTGATAACATACCTTTTTACTTTTGAATTATTCAAAATTTTTCAAAAATAATATATTTATACAAAATATTTTAGTTGGTCTTAACATCGCTCAAACGTCACATATTGAGTAGCTACAGTCAATTAATATGTGTAAAATTCTAGATCTTCTATTAAACTAAATACAATTTGATGTGATATTATAAAAATACCTACGCACGATCCATAGAATAAATATTCAATAATAATAATATGTCCGAACATTAACACACAGCACCATCTAGTTCCATGGTAAGCTACGACGCTTGTGTTACGGATACCAGATAGTTGATACATTACACATATATAACTTTAAATACATTCATATTATAAATATAAACACCCATGACTGAAGTACAAACATTCGAGCTCATCACACAAATGAATCCAGCGGTACTCGAACCCGCGACTGGCACGGCAATTAGGGTCGCTACAAACTGAGCCAAACTTTTCGTCCAAATATTAAAAATCCTATTGAAAGCATACCTATTTATACTGTAAAGGTAGTTAATGCTATAGGTACATTTGAATAAAATAATGTTAATTTTTGGCACGAAATCTCTGTACATATAAAAAAGCTAGTTCTGCGAATTATAAATATCGATTATTAAAGCAAATCTCATTATCGTATTCGAAAGTTCCAACAGTGGTTTCATTTATAAATACGAACGCAAATTCCGACTTTTAATTTGCTAATTACTTTTCATTACAATTAATAATGAAATTAGCTACATCAATTACCATTACGTGTAACTTGTTATAATCTGATTCTTTGTGTTCTGATACGGTTAATCTTACCTTACTCGATTAGATGGCATTATAGAATTGTTATATTTATAGAAATTAGTTAAGTACCTGGGTGAAAGAGCTTCGCTCGGCGTTTTTTCGAAATTATATAAAACTTGCGTTTTTTTTTTCAGAAATGATACCTATATAGATAAAAGCAAAAACTTGTCGAAGTAGGTACAAAATTTGATCCAAATCGGTAGGGCCGTTTCCGAGATACACAAAATAAATTTATACAGTAGGTACATAAATTGCTCATTTGATGTAAGATTATAGATTAAAATTGAAATTTTAGTAGTATTAAAACATTCAACATTGACATATAATTTTGTGAGATATAATCATGAGAGACATATGTGTCTCCCGTGACCATGATTGCTGTAAAGCATTCGAAACGTCGGGAACCAAAAATCTAAATAAATTCGCGAAAAAATCCGAAAAGATAATTTTATTTAAAATGTCAAGTATTCGCGTAAATCTAAGAAAGTATTATTTGACATATAATGTTTGTTGGACTTCTTATCTTGAAGGATTTTTTGACTTTTTCAAAATAAATCAATATATTATCTAGTTTTTTGTCTCAAAATTTATAATTTGATACTTAACTATTTTCGTTTTAACTACCATAGTCCATAAGTAATATGTGACTGAAACTGTCTACTGAGCAGCTTCAAATCCTGGAACATTGTAATGATTGACCACCTTAAAACCCTTATATTAGTAAAACAAATGGCAGAGTTAGAAACGTCCAATAGAGTTATTTAGACATGTCCTGACATATTTATTATTTATTATTATTATTATTAAATAATTTGTAGTAACATTGTCTCTTAAACTTTTGAACTTGATTTTTATAAAAACTCTAGTATAAGACTAAGGTAAAAACACTTTATTGGTCATTGAACCAAATTCTATTAGCAAAAGATGAACGACTCACCATTCACTTACATATATAAAGATGAAAGGCTAAACACGCTAGCCGCGAGGTACTTTATCCGACTGCGCCGAAGCCGAAAAAGGGGATGGATATTGCACGTATACATTACACGTATTGATACTATGTTTCAGTCGACATCGCAGAAACTAACTCGCGAACTGTTTTTCATTCATCAGATTATATTTTTTTTATAAGACAAAACACAACGTAAACTAAAATTGTATTGTCTATATAAAGACGAAGAGTGTTTGTTTGTTTGTTTGTTTGTTTGTTTGTTTGTTTGAACACAATAATATTGGAAAGTACTAGGGTGATTTGAAAATATTTTAAATAATTAAGCGTAGCCGCGGTTGAAAGCTGTATTATAACTTTTATCTGATGATAGAAATATAAGTGTTTAGAGCTTATGCATAAGTGGACTTTTTAATAAGCATCTTAAAAATATATTTAAAACGTGATTTGCTTAGGCCCTTAATGATTTGGGAGGTATTTTCTTATCATTTAATTAATTTTATTAAATTATATGGTTAGTTAAATTTAACCCATTATTATTATTTTATTTAGATTACTTATTTTTTCAGGACGTAGTTGAAGTTCCTATGGAAATGCTGCTGTCAGAGATATCTCCCCGGCTTAGTTTGTCAGACTTCTTTTCGTTAACATGTCAAGAGAAGTCCTGTGTTGTTGACATAAGGTCTAATTTACTGTAAGTACTAAATATTTTTTGTTTACTTATACTTTATAAAAATATATAGTATATTTTCTTTAAAATCTTTAATTAAAGGTATTCTGAAGTTGCCAATTTTGGACGACTTCTTGACATTACTCAGAATTTTCCAGGCCGTAAGTGTTTACGAGGTTGATAAATTATTACCTATATACTTGATAAATAATAATAATTAATTGTATTAATGTGTTTAATGCAAGGCAGTGGGTGCCAGCCGACAATATTTTAAGATATGAATATCTAATAGGTAAATATGTATTTTTCGTATCGAAATATATTAGATTTGCTTTGCATCGGCTGGCACCGACTTAAAAGATATCTGATTAGGTATCTATTCTAAATGAAAACCTCCGTTTAGTTATTTTTTACATTTTAGTGCCTGGAAGTCGGTTTTCATTTTTTGTTAAAAAGTTTTTTATTCCATTATATATAATACCAACATATTTTATTGAGCCACATGTGACGTTGGCAATACCTCCTTACAACGTAATTAAAGCCATTAAGTCCTAAGCGATACGAAGATGATTTGCTTTTAAACAGGGCCTTATGTGGATTACAGGTTACTTCACTAATAAAATAAAACGTATTATTAAAGATATGTATAAGACCAGCGAGGTGGACTATGGCCTGATCCCCCTCGTATTGAAGGAAGGCCCGTACCCAGCAGTGGGGACGTTAAAAAGGGCTGAATGCATGGCGTGTTCCTAGTTATAGCCAATGTTAGATTTAAATAAAATGCTAAATCAACGGATCCTTTTGATTCAAAAGCCATTTGGAAGATATGAAATCGTGTTTTTAATATTATTCAAATTATTATTTGTTTCATGTGCGATCTTAAAATTATAATATCTTATAATGTAGTATTTATTGATAGTGTATATCATGTGGCTCATCAAATATTAATCAGTCATCATATTATTGACGATCGCTCAACACGCAAGTGCTATTGTTATGTAAACTTTAGAAAATAACTTTCTTAATATATACTCGTATCAATTTTATCGTGGCGTATCGTTAAAATCATACCTTTCAGGTATTTTTGAGTGATGCATATTTAAAAAACGTGCAAATTTTTAATAGTACAACTTTTGCCACAAAATGGCCGAATCTTCTATTATATCTATACACAAAAATAGGCAAAGACAAAACAGTACAGTTTCGAAGTTTTCAACAAAAAATTATGAAACAGTTGATTTATTAATATTATAAAGAGGAAAGATTTATTTTTTTGTTTCTTTGTACCGAATAGGCTTCGAAACTACTGAACCGATTTAGATGAAATTTGATAAAAAGATAGTTTGAGGTCCTGCGAAGGGCATATAATAATAATATATAAGGACATATAATAATTTTTATTCCGGGATCATCCCTTAAGGGAGAGAAAATGAGGATAAAAGCTTGTATGGGAGTTTTTTATATAAATACGTAAATTCTTTTTATATATTATGCTCTCCTCAAATATTCAATAAAGATTATGTCCTAATTTCGATCACTGAGCGAACATTAGTTAAATTAAATATATTGTGTCTATTTATTTTGCCATTTTCAACATGGTTTTACTAGCTTCATTTAACTAATAAATCTTGGATGTCCATTTTAACCTACTTGTTATCTATTGTCTTATCAATTTAAACTTCATAAGTATGTGAAGTCTCTATTACAAAACATTAAATTGATACCATATAATTGATGTAATGGTAGCCGGTAGAACTCTTCAAAGGCTACTACTAAAAGCTACAACCTAAGATTTTGAACTCATTTCATTTGTTTTGATGAGTTCTATAATGTAATTCTAGTATTTTTAGGGTTCCGTTTTTCAAAAGGAACAAAGTAAGCCTTATAGGATCACTTTGTTGTCCGTATGTCTGTCTGTGAAAAAAATATTGTGTAATAAATATTTGCGTTTATAAACTTTTTTATGTGTCATGCCACGGAACCGTCGGTGTGAAAGTCAGACTCGCACTTATCCGTTTTTTTTTTAAATTATAAACGTTAAACTTGTTCTAGATATGAAAAGAGTTGTATAGATGGCAGTATAAACGTGCCATACAGTGGTGTACATCTCGGACAGCACGATCTCAAATTGTTGGGCTCACATCCATACAAAACACTGAGCGAGGCGATTAAATTGAAGAAAACTATAGTAGTAGCGTCCGCTGAAGACGAAACTGCACAGTTGGTGAGATACTTTACTTACTATGCGTTTTTTTTTAATTTTAAATGTTTTTTTTTGCTAAGTTTATGTCTTAGTTTGTATGTTAAGGTATATATATTTTTTATTTTAATTTCGAATATAAGTTATCAGGATAACTGACAGAGTGACAGTTAATATACTCGTAATATAGATCTATATTTTGCTTATTAATCTCTTAACTTTCACGAGTCTACCGTAATTACGTTAGGAAATACTTCTAATAAATAATAAAAAAATGCCATATATTAAAACCAGCGATTTACGTCCCTAAGTACGTTTTTTTTGCGAAGGACCCTAATTCTTTTTCTAAAATAAAAGTAGACAAAGTTAATTCTTATAACATCAGCTATTTACCAGTGAAAGTCCCGTCAAAATCGGTCCAGCCGTTTCAGTAATTAGCCGGTACAAACAGACACAAAAATTTTATAAATTGTGTTTTTCTTATAAATACCGTATATATTTTGCCATATGCATTACAAACAAATACTTCAATTTTAATTTTTTTGTATAGATTAAAGTCCCCCGCCGCGCTGAGTTTGTGTTAATTTTAAAATTACTCTACGGATTTTCATGTAGTTTTCACTAATAGATAGTGAGTTTATCTAGGAAAATTATAAGTTATAATTTATGAAGATATTACAAAAATAAGCTTACGTGAATTAAGTCGGAAAAAATCGTCCCTTCTAAGAACTTCCGCATCATTATAAATGCGAAGGGCATCCAGGGACGCCAGTAACATTATTCATATTAAGACATGTTAATACAATAACGTCATTAGACAATATTTTCCCACAGTTTACCGATTATCTCGTCAAGTGCGGGGTGCCGCGCGTGTGCACCCTGCACGGCGGCGTGGCGGCGCTGCACGCGCACGTGCCCTCGCTCTTCACGCTGCCCAGGAGGAACGGGCATAAGTAACATCACTGTTGGGTAGTACATATACGATACTAGTGATTGCCCGCTGCTTCGTTTGCCTGTTATGTATGTACATATGTTGATATAAATTAGGTACAATATTGCAAAGAATTGAAAGAATTTTATTAACTACCCTTTTTCAATTTGTTAAATTTAATAAGCGTAGCTCTGAAATTGACCTATAAATCAGGGCCTGACTCGAGTTAGTAATAGATGCTTGTTCATTTAACATTAAAATATATTTTTTTGTTAAAAAAATATACTTTTTTTTAATTAAAAATTATCTATGTGTAAATATTTTTTTATTCCAGTAATGTTTGTTGCTTTTCGTTTTATAGATCATTCGGAATTTAATTAAAATCTCATACTTATTGTGGCTTTAAATATCAATATATACTTATTTATATTCTTTTTTTTTGTTTGAATAATGATTAAATAATTCATATTTTTTAATATATATATTAATAATATATATGTACATACAATTAATTTAATATAATAAGGATATGCATAAATCTGGGTAACCTTTTGCTAGCTATTTTTAAAATGATGTTGTAAATAACATAATACCTACTTTCATATATTTACGCGAATATTTTACATTTTAAATATAACTATCTTTTCCGTAAAAGATGGTTTTGTAGATAACATTTATTATTATTTAATATTTTACTATTAATACATTCGAATAATAATTATAATAACAGTATGATATGTGCATATATATATATATATATATATATATATATATATATATATATATATATATATATATATAAGTAAATTGTAATATCTCAGCAGAACTCAATGAATGCTGCAAATTCCTCTAATATATTATAAATAAAAAAAATGTGCACGAGTGTTTTGAGACTTCTTCACGGTGTTAAGGGCTATTGAAGAAAAAACTTGGGTATAAAGACAGCTTATATTAAATATGTACATACATAGGCTATTTTTTTGGTGTAGCTATCACGCGGGCGCAGCCACGGACGAAAATTAGTTATAAAAAATTATACATAATAATCATTGATGTACCAAAACTCAAGATACACAAATATTAGCGTCTCAAAAGTGTCCTCAAAAAAAGTGAACCTTTCGAAATTGAATTGCGCTCATATCTCTTTTGTGCATTGATAAAATTAAAATGCACGTTGTTTTGTTTAAAAAAGTACTTATGTGGTGTGCGTAAGTTCGAATTTGTGTTGTGACAATTAGAACTTTCGATCTTTGAATTTTCTTTAGGTTGACTCAAGTCACATGTCGATACCATTTTCTGAAGAGATGTTTGTTAGGAGATGTGTATCTATGTTTTTATATATCAATGATAATAATACGTAGATCTATATAAGATCAAAGTGAAAAATCAGTATATTTTTACTTTGTTATCACTTTACCTGGATGAAGTCAGAGTTTGTTACTAGTATATAAGAAGTAGTCTAATTTTTTTATTAGTGATAAATGATATGTATGTATATGTATTAGAAAATATTATTTCATATATAATTTATTTAATGTTCATTAATTATTAATTTATTTTAAGGTCATGTAAAATAACGCTACATTTTATTTGTATATTATGCATGTAATGTTATTTATACTGTTTATCTACTATAATTGTAACCTAAAGTAATAAATGAATTCCTATTTAATTTTTTTATTTATATTTTCGTTGGTTTATTTAGTTATTTCTAGTCAGTGTAACGTGTTCAGTATTGTTCATAAAAAAATATAAAAGTTCTGCATAATATAACCTAGGTTTTGTTCGCCTATAAACCACTTAGCACGATTAACGCTATAAACGATAGCAATAAAACGCAGCTCGAGATACGTAATTTACTAATGGAATTCAGACTAAAAATATTTATAAATTGTATTGTATTCAGCCTTTTTTAACGTCCCACTGCAGGGCACGGGCCTCCCTTCAATACGAGGGGGATCAGGCCATAGTCCACCACGCTGGCCAAGTGCGGGTTGGCGGACTTCACATGTCTTTTGAAAACTTGCTAGGTTCTCTCAGACATGCAGGTTTCCTCACGATGTTTTCCTTCACCGTTAAGACAAGTGGTAATCATGTTGGAAGTGATTCGCACATGAAAATATCAGAGGTGCGAGTCCTGGGATTTGAACTCGCTTCACTCGGTTTCCCAAGCGAGCGTGTTACCACTGGACTACCACTGCCTTAAAAATTAATATTCTTTTAAAATTAAATTGAAGACGTGTATAGGAGAAAAATTCAATTCAGACTTCATCAATAAAAAGTTTCATTGAAATCAGTACAGCGATTAGGTATTGATTTATGAAGAATAAAATAGACAAATGTTCACTGTAAAGCCTTTAAGTTTATTCTGTTACAATTTAATTTTAATATATACCCTTTATGATGTATTATCTAATACAATAGGTACTTAACTCTAAGAAAATTTATTAAAAATGCTAAGCGTGATAATTTAAAATATTCTAACGTTACAAGTTTGTTTGTTTATTTGAGAAGGCTCCCAAGTAAGTATTGCAATAATTATATACATGCTTTATATTAACATATAAGCGACTCATCTTCGCTACGCTCGGGTTTTGACGGTTAGTGTAGATTTTTCAGAGATGAGATATTTTCTCGTAGTAAAAAGTATCCTTTATGTTGACCCGGATAACCAGCTATCACAATACGAAATATCATGAAAAATTTTCTAGTGGTTTCCTCGTGATGCGTTCCCAGACAGGCAGATAAAATTTCTAAAGACTATAGATTTGGCCTCTGTATCGATAATAATGACTATTTCGATAAGATTTTCTAAAAAATGGTTAACGTATAGATTCGTCTTAGAATTTTATTATACGTATAGATAGATTAAATGACTTACACTGATTAGACACTGATTATAGGGGACCACAATTTGCACCAAAAAGATATTAAGTATTATTACCTATATTAGGGAAAAACAAAGAACAAAATCTAACTTGAATTAATATGACCTAATTGCTCATGTAAAAGTATTTAAAGATAATATTATATAAATAAAAAATACAAGAAGAAAGTCATATAATATGAAAACGGTGAAGTAAAATGTTCGACGTACATATATATGTATGTTTATACATTGTACATAATAAGTTAATGCTATTCATTGAATAGATATGGTATATGTGAAAGTTTCCTAAGTTACGTATTTAAGCAACAGAGCCTTATAAAGAAAATTACTTACGTTCACATTTATTACATGTAGTAGGTACACCTGTTGGCTGTTTAGCTATGGATTAACTAAGTTGTTCTTGTATAGAATGGGTAGTCTTTAAAATCTCTATTTGTTTCTTGGCTAAATCGACTTACTTGGTCTAAATCTTATTCCGTTACTCCATACAAACAATAAATTTTACCTTAAATAAAGACCCTAAAAGGGTCGTAAAACATTTCAGCATCCGCATTTAACAGAAAATTTAGTAGGGGAGCCCAAGAGGGGATTTTTGTAGTTACTCAAGCGCGGCAAATGAACATAAAAGAGGTTACCTTGCACTCTATTGAGTACTTTCACCATAATATAAGTCTTCTATATAAAGGCGCGCGTCTAGGGAAGCCGATCAAAATATTTAAAAAATGTTTTGATAAATCGACTATAAAGTTTATGATGATTTTTGCCTCTTCGGCTTGTGCAAATCGGCAGATTATTGAATTGGACACTTTTAAGGATGTGACTAGCCTACTACACCTTAATCTGACGGTTTCAAGTATTTCTACCTTATCAAAACATTTTTTAAATATTTTGATCGGCTTCCCTAGACGCGCGCCTTTATATAGAAGACTTATATTATGGTGAAAGTACTCAATAGAGTGCAAGGTAACCTCTTTTATGTTAATTTGCCGCGCTTGAGTAACTACAAAAATCCCCTCTTGGGCTCCCCTACTATAAATTAACTTCCATTTTATCGTCTCATTGACTTCAACTTTATTGGTTCTAAACACAAAAAAATCTGAAGTAGCAAGTTCCGTATGTACAGCTAATTGACAACCAGATCACACCAATGCGGGTTGAACTTCCGTTGCGCCCAATATTTTATATTTTTTATATCTATGGCTACATTTTTATACTGTCTAACAATCAAATTATTATACTTTAAATAACTTTTTTACTGATATTATCAATTTTTACATGGACGAAATTCGTAACTGTAGGATATTACAACAATTGTGTAAAGGCAATAGAAGCCATAAGGGATCGATTTTAATAAAAACTTAAGACAAGATATATAGACTACACATAAAAACTAAAAATTTGAATAAATACAAAAAAATAAAAGTAAAAACTTTGTATTCGACCGGGATTCGAACCCGGACGGACACCTGTAATCGTCAATCTTGCGCCTTGGCCGCTTGACCACGATGCATAAGCATATGCCTGAGCGTGAGAAATTAGCGATTATATTTTGCGTGGAATAATGCGAAAGAAAACCGCATGAAAACTGTAAAACACGCGTTTTCCCTGACATAGATTTTTGCCCCCGAAAACATCATATAAAATATTTTTCCTAGTCCGAAATCGAATTCGTTATTTTATTAATTTTGAAATATCATTATATTAAAAACGTCATTTGATAAAAAAAACCAGCCTTTAAAAATTGAAGCCTAAGCCTGTTTTATACGAGTATATTTCACGTTTAAAAAAAGTTAAAAAACGGTGGTAAAATGATAATAAATATTAATATACATAAAAATATTTACCCGCATAATTAATATAACTAATAAGTATGTTACTGAAAGCGTATGCGCACCCCCGTGACCGTCCATGGTCATGCTTTTACCCCCTATCACGTTATGAATGAGAGGTCTGGGAGGGGGGAGAGGGGACGGTCAACGCCGCCTCGCATTCGCCGGCCGTATTCCGCCGCGAGCGCGTGTCACCGCGATACTTAGACAAACATTCCACGCGTGTGTATAATCCACACCTGAAATGAGCGATAGTGAAACCTAATTGTGATAGTGGTATATTATATATTTTCTACTGACTTGT